ACGTCGAAAGGGACGTCGAAAGGGACGTCGAAAGGGACGTCGAAAGGCGCGCGCGGGCCCGTCGACCCGGTCGCCCCTTTCGACGTCGATCGGTGATTTCACCGGTCGAGCGCCGCGGCTCGCGATGGGGCGGACCGCGCTTCGGCGCGCGCGATGGCGCGCGCGAGACGCCCCGCGCGCGCGCTCGGACGCGTCGCCGTCGTCCTCGCGTGCGCGTGCGCGCGCGCGCGGGGAAGCGCGGCGACGACGGCGGCGGAAGAGCGGTCGTTCTTCATCGACACGCACGTCACGCGCGACGGCGCGAGGTGCGAGATCGGGCCGTACGGATGGTTCTGCGTCCCGTCGACGATTCAGTACTCGTACACGGTGCATGACCCGAACACGGTGTACGAGGGAGACGACGTGACGGACGCGGTGGACGCGTGCGAGGCGTGCGAGACGTGCGCGCGGTGCGCGGCGACGAATCTGACGTGCGCGCGGGCGGAGAGCGCCGGGTGCTTCGGGACGTGTGGGAGCGAGGAGACGAATGATGTGTTGACGAAGTGTGGGACGGCGGCGGAGGTGTGTAAAAATGTACAGTTTGACGTCGTGCGAGCGGATTTGCGAGAGGAGATTTCGTACGCGTACGAATTCTTCGTCAACGAACTGAACGGGAGCGACGCGTGGCAGGGAACGCGGGAGATGCCGTGGAAGACGCTCGCGCGAGCGGAGCGTAGGGTACGGTTTTTACGCGCGGTGACGGAGGCGAGCGGGCTCGGACGAGCGCTCGTTCGACCGGTGCAGGTGTGGATTCGTGACGCGTACGCGTCCCCGGGCGCGGACCCGTTAGATAACGTGAGCAACGGTCGATACTCGGGCGTGACGTACAGCGAGTAGCGATGCGGCGCTTCGGTACCGGTAGTATTCTTAGTGTAACATGACTTTTCTAGCTCGTCTCTCGCGTCGCTCTCACGTCCTCGACGACGTCTCCCGTCGCCTCACACGCCGCCTCGCGCACCGCCCGATGGTCGCGCATCCTTGATCTCTCGTTCGCGAAACACGAACGCGCGCGAGGTCCGACGTCTCGAACTCTCGCGTCCGGTCGACGTGCGCGCGCGTGCGCGGCGGCATCGTCGCTCGCGCCGAACGCGATGTCGTCGAGTTCGTTTGAACATCGAGCCGCGGCCGAAACATCGCGCGCGCGTCGTCGCTCATCGTTCGGTGCGCTCAAAAACCTTCGTGCGACGCGCATCGCGGTGCTCTTCGTTATCGCGTGCGCGCTCGGGTCCAAGAGCGCGCTCGCGGCGACTGTGGCGCCACCCACGGTGCGGTTCACGAGCGGCGCCGCGACGCGCCGCGCGTACAAGGAGGGCGACGGATGGATGACGATCTCTTCCACGACGAGCGTCACGGAGGGGTATCCGGCGAGCTCAATCGTGCGTGCGGACGCGAAGATCGTGAACGTGCAAGACGCTGGGGAGGAAGAACTGCAGGTGGAGGTGAAGCTGGAGGATGAAGACCGAACAGCGTGGACGTACGACGTGACGACAGCGACGCTCACGGTGACGAGTATTAATTATCCAACGGACGAGACAACGTCGAAGAGTACTGCGTCGATAGAGAACGCGCTGCAGAAGCTGAAATTTAGGCACATAGGGACGAACATTGGGCTCGCTCCGCGCGGGTTGACCCTGACGTTGACGGATGAAGCTGGCAGGACGAGCGCGCCGGCGCTGGCGACGATTAGCATTTCGAGGGATAACGTACCGCCCGTTCTCGATCTCAACGGCCCAAGGGACGGGACTACATACGAGGTGACAATGTCAGCGAACGAGCGTATGATTGGCGTGCGACTGTCCGATATTAACTATGAGTGCACAGACTCGGACGACGTCGTCCTACAGGGATGCACGGTGGTGATAGACTCTATTCTCGACGGTGATGGCGAGTACATCTCCGCGGACACGAGCGGGACTAGTATAAGCCAGTCTTGGAATTCAACGACGAGGGCGTTCGAACTCACTAACTACGACAGCATGAACAATTACTGCAACGTCTTGGGTACGATTCGTTATTACAACAACGGGACGGAACAAAGCGTGAACACATCGCAGACGTATAGCGATGGAAAATCGGTGCCGTCTTCGATGAAATTAAAATTCACAGCTGGCGTTCGTTCATTCAATTTCGAACTCTTCGATTCTTCAGGCAATTCTGCTAGTGCGATCGCAAAGGTGGACGTGAAGGAATTCGATCGCACCGGAGATGCGCTGTATGATGATCTGATCGAAGATCCCATCTTCTGTAACAATCAAGGGAACCGTACATCGGATTCCGCAGTGTGCATCTGTGTCCATGGATACACTGGCGACTCGTGTGAAATACACGAATGTTCTAATCATGGCTCTCGCCCGATATCCGACCAATCATGCGAGTGCGATTCGGGTTTCTCTGGTGATGACTGCTCCGTCGAGTGTCAGGGTCACGGTAATTACAACGCTACAAGTGGAAAATGTGTGTGCGACGTTGGTTACGCGGGTAGAGATTGTAGCGTCACGTGTAGCTTTTGCGCGGCTGAAACTGGCGAGTGTACACTTACTGCTGCATCCGAGGCTTCATGGGACAACGGAACGAGAGTATACAAGGAGACTGAGACGCAGTGTGAATGCCTCAGTGGTTGGTCAGGTGAATCATGCACAGATGCGTGTCCGTGCAGAACGAGCCCGTTCGATACGGAGCAACATGGCAATTGTTCAACGGATGCATCCGGCGAGGGCTACTGCGCTTGTCACCCTGGTTACACTGGTGCCGACTGCACGTTGCCATGCACCAGAGACTGCGGGAACGCGCTCTACGGAGAGTGCTACGCCCCAGAGGAGTATGAAGCAGGTATCTACGAACAGCTCGTGGCGATAAAAGGCGATCAGACAATTACCAACAAAACCGAAGCGGTGCAAAATTTGACGCAGGGAATTTCAACACTTTGCCGTTGCATCCCTGGGGAGGACGGCAAACTCAAGTTTACGGGTGACTTTTGCAACGTCACGTGCGATGAGTGTGTCTTCGGTACGTGTAGCGCAAGCGCGACGTGTGATTGTTTTCCAGGTTACGTAGGCTCAGACTGCACACAGCCCTGCAGTGGGAATTCCGCGTCTGGTGATGTATCGTATCTCCCAGTGTATCAGCTATCCGCGGTCACGGATCGGTTTCCAAACTCAAGCACCACTGGATTATTCAACACGACGGAGTTGTACGGCTACAAAAGCGCAGATGGACTCGAAATCGCATACTGTGAATGCAAGGCGGAATTTACGGGTGACTTTTGCAACGTCACGTGCGATCGGTGTTCTTCGTTCGGTACGTGCTTGTTCAACGGTACTCACGGTCTGTGTGACTGCGATAGTGGCCAAACAGGATCGGATTGCAGCATACTATGCCAGACATGCCAGAATGGAAAGTGTGGATCCTCGGGTGAGTGTGTGTGCGATCCGGGATACGGCGGAAGCGATTGCAGTGTTGAATGCGGCAATCCGACTAGTCGCGGTACGATCAATCCGAACGGCGCCGTTCTTGGATATGGGTTACTTGGATCGACCGTGACGTGCGACTGCAATCCAGGTTACACCGGTCCAATGTGTCTTGATCCTTGTCCGTACACATATGATACCAACAATGGCGCGTGTGTCATCAAGGACACCAGCGACGTACTCAGAGAACCGAGTTCGGGATACACAGAAATCGTGTGTAAAGAAGGTTGGAGCGGCATGGAAAGTCTGCGCCGAGGGCGTGATTGCAAAACACAATGTGATGCGTGCGTTCACGGGATGTGTCAGGATGACGGAGAGTGTCTTTGTGACTACGGTTACATTTGGCAACCAGCGACGCGCAATAGCGCAGAAGGTGGTCAGAGGATCGCTGTGACGCCGTATCCATGGTGGACAGGGGGCTCGAACCCGACGCTTGAGGCGGAGAACGTTGGTGGAAACGCATCGCAGTTCTACAATGCCACGTACCATTCATGCTCTGTGCGGCATCCGTGCTCGATGAACGGGGAATATTTGAATGCAACGTGTGCCTCTGGATATTCCATGGTTGCCGGTACTGGGCAAGTGTGGCAAATAGCTGACATTGTTGGAAATGGAGGATGGGGCTGCTCGGGCACGATTCAAGCCGACGGATCATGCGAGGGCGGTGAGTTCTTGCTCGCCATGCCGTACGTCACAAAACGCATCGATGGTACTATAGTGCGAGACAGTGACGCCATGGAGTCATTCTCCAACTGGGGCATCATCGCTGGTGCCGTATGCGTCCCTGGCAATAACACGGATCCCGATGGGATGCCGATCGCTGGAGGATACTGTTTGTGCGATGCGTTGAGCGTAGGCCGAACCAAGTTTCCAAGTTCGCAGTCCATTGACGCGTACGACGACTACTGGCAGGGATGGGCGGGAACAACGTGTGATATACCTTGTGCCCCGTGTTCTGAAAATGGTGTGTGCAACTCAACGACAGGCGCATGCGACTGCAAAGATGGTTGGACGGGATATCGCTGCCTGACACCTTGTCAGGACTGCATCCATGGAACGTGTCAGTACGACGGTAGCTGTTTGTGCGACGGAGTTAGGCGGTTACGGGATGGATCTTTTGCTCTTCGTCTTGATAGAGATCCACTTTTCGCAACAAGTGGTATTGATGAAGAAACGAGTGAGTACATCCACCCGTACTACATGACTGCAACGCAGGTGGAAGACTACATTTGGGGAATGGAGTTCAAGTGCGTTAATTCATCCGATAGTTCTCGTTGTTCTCAACGTACCAAGGATTCCAAGTTACCGTTCAGACCAAATGAAACCTTTTTCCGGTATGCGGCATCAATCCCGTCCGATTCGACGACAGAAAGTCCAGAGGCGCTTCAAAAAAAGCTTGAACAATATCAGAGAGACATTGTGACGATCCCCGAGTCCATGCGCTACGACGAAATTTGCACAAAACTGGACTACAAGCTTGAGTCCACGACTGGTGAGTGCATGGCCGCACTCGTGTCAACGGCAAGCTGTGGCTCAGACTGGGACACAGCTAACCCGTGGGACTGCGATGATCCTCTGAAGGCTCATTTTTTTCAGACCCGCAAAGAGATGATTGGGGCCACACGGATGGATTTAAAAGTTTCTACTGAAGCATCCGACAATGAACGTTGGTACACTAATAGTGTGAACGAGCGCCAACGGTTGCTGAACGTCTTTCTCCCCGGACGTTACGATCCGATTACTGGCACGTACGAAACTACGCGCTCATCAGCAGACAGAAAGATGCTTTGGATTGTGAATCAGCTCATCCACGGTGTGGTATCGGGGCCCACAGGCACGGCTTACACTGGAGAGACTTGCTCGATACCATGTGACGCGTGCGATATAGAGCATGGAACTTGTCAGCTAGATGGAAAATGCGAATGTGAGACTGGCTGGTACGGAGATGATTGCAGCAAGCGGTGCAACTGCTACAAAGAGTACAATGCCGATGGATCAGAAGCTGAGATAAAGTACACAGCGCACGGCGTCGCGGTCAGGTCTTGGGGTGCCTGTCAGCGAGATGCGATCTGTAAGTGTGGAGTCGATGATGGCGGCGTGCAGTACACTGGCGATGATTGCTTCACACCTTGCCAACCTTGTCACAATGGCGCGTGTCAGGCCGACAGCTCGTGTTTGTGCAATAAGGGATGGCTCGGTTCAGCATGCGATATTCGCAACTTCACGGAGTGTCTGCCGTGCAACTATGATCACGGCACTTGCCTAACAGATGGGACATGTAAGTGCGACAAGGGCTGGACCGGGCTGACTTGCGACCTAAAATGTGACTCGTGCGTGAACGGAAATTGCCAGCTTGATGGTACGTGTCTTTGCGATGTAGGTTGGTCGTTTGTTGATTGTTCTCGTCCTGCACCACGCGAGTTTATCGCAATGTCGGATTTTACGGATGGACCAGAGGGTTGGACCGTGTATAATAACTCATGTCCAGGGGTACTTATTGAGAATTCGATTATGACTGAATTCGACCCAAATGCTATCAACTCTGAGTCCCTCATGCGTGGCGCGTGTAACGGCGCATTCAGTGGAGGAGATAGCGGTCTACTATGGCAAGGCGTAAGTGGCTACATGCACCTTACGGATAAGTTGACGGGCGATAGCGCTAGTGAATTGGCGTACCTACGTGCACCAGAAAAGTTTACTGGCGATCTTCTCAGTCAGGGTGCATACAACGCTTCGATTACGTATTCGTTGTTCACAGTGGCGGATTCTTCGGGAGGTTTCTCCAGTGCTGGAAACAAACAGTCGGCTATTCATCAAACATCAGCGTACGACATCATTTTGATGGGTGGTCTCCCGCGGTACAATCGCGAGATTCCAGTGTGGGGGAGCACGATTCAAATCTACAACTGGACCCGCACAAATTTCCCAGAGCTGCGAATAAACGAAAATCTGATTCGTTCTCAAATGATTGCCATTGTGGAGCAATACCTCAACACGCCACAGGTGTTCCTTGGTTACAAAGTCACGACGACAGACGGATATCCGCCTTCATCGTGCTCGGCGTTGAAATGTAACTTGAATTTTGCGGTCGACCTCATAGAGACCGGTGGATGGGCAAATATTGAGCCCATACTTTCGGGTTTCAAGTGGTCGAACGACGTACCAGTGAGTTACACGGATGGGACCGTCTTCACGAATCGTAGCGAAGGTAGCCCATACGATCCGTTCGCGGGGATGACAGCCGATACGCTAAACCAGTCGAGTATAAATACGGATGCGAGTGAGAGAAATGATGGCGGCACCGTCCTTCAGGAATCGAACAGTCGAGAAATCATGCTGGATGAAAACGGGCGCGCAGTATTGCGTGAGCTGTATCCCGAGGTGATCGAAACGATCTGGGCGACGCGTAAATCCAGGACTGGAAACAATGTGACTTTCACCGAATTTGCGTGGTGCTTGGCGTCGCTGAAAGAAATTTTGGTTCGAGCCGACTATTACGTACAGGAAATTGTTGATGCGTCTATGACAGTTATTGGTGAATCCATGCGCTTTGACGAATTCAGTGTTGGTAAATACGTGCAAGTCGATACCGAAGCAGAGCAACAGATCGAATTGTTCAACTACTACAGAAGATATAAGGACGAATACTTAGTTAAGTATCTGGAAGAGCTTTACGAAGATATGCGTCCGTCTGTTTGTAAAGGCAAGTGGTACCTCGAGGGAGACCCAGATCCACAACTTGGTGACGCGTGCAAACAAGATCCAATGAAACTTCGAGAGAAGTGTGAAGCTGATAACCTTTTTGACACAGAAAGTAACGAACTTGGTGATTACTGCGTCATCAAGTGTCCTGGATACGACGCAGCCCTTCAAACGACGTGTTCTGGGTTTGGCACGTGTGGATTAAACGCGCTGAATGAACCTTCATGCACGTGCAATGACGGCTATTTTGCGAATGCGACAGGATGCTTCATTAGCACACCTTAGTGTAACATAATCAGATTCTAGTTAGCTATGAGACTAAGAGAGTACTTCCGCGGCAGCGTCTACGGCATTCGTGGAACAAATTTGCTCAGCGTATAAACGTTCCATTCGCGTATATAAACGTTCCATTCGCGTGCAACGCTCGGCGTAACTCAAAGCTTTTTCTCTAGAACGATGTAGCTCTCTGCGCAGTTTGAGCTCAGCGTGCTGCGTTTCGGCAACCGCCAGCTTACACGCGATAAGTTCGTTAACGTGCGAATCGAGCACTAGACGAACGTCGTGAAGCTCCTCCGTCACAGCGCGCAAATCACATTTTGCCTGTGCCGCCTCGGCCAGGGCGATGTTAATTTGCGTATTTTTCTGTTCGTTGGCTGACTTCTTCAACGCCGAATGCAACGCCGTCGTCTCCGCTACTAAGTTCTGAAATTGCTGACGTAAATCATCGGCCTCGGCGTGCGCCACTTCGAGCTCTGACTCGAGTGACCTTTCGGTCTCAAAGCGCAATTTTGTCTGTCGTTCCAGTTCTCGATTGAATTCAGCCTTTTCGTTCCTGTGCGACATGAGCAAAGCGTCCAACTGCGCATCGGCTGCGTCCAACTGCGCCTTGTACCGCTCAATCTCTTTTATGTGTGCCGATCTCTCGAGTTCCAAGTCTCGCGCGACGCTCTCTGTCACTTCCCGAGAACTTGCCATGCGGGCAATATCGGCTTCGCGCTCGTACAGACGTCTCTCAAGGGCGTTCCGCTCGAATTCCAATTCCTTTTTGGCTCTAACGGCGGCATTCTTCTCGTATTCAAGCGCCTCTATATCCTCGAGCGACTTCGCCGCTGCGAACGCCTTCGCGGTGCTCGCCGCCTTCGCGTCTTCCTTAGCCGTGGCGATCTCTGCGTGCACCAAGACCATCGCCTTCTGGTGCGCTCGCTTCTCGGCCGCGCTGTTGGCGCGTTCTTGCTCGAGTTCATTTTTAATCGTCTCCAGAGCCACCTCGAGCTCGTTCACGCGCTTCGATTGCGTCTCGAGTTCCGCTCGGGCCATCGCTTCGCGCCGCTCGCTCTGTCGCACGACGATGGGCGACACGCTCTCCGCGACGGGACTCAAAAGCGATTGCAACCCGAACCCGGTCAAATCCTGTTCGTCTGCCCCATCCGATGGCGTTACATCCGTCGCCACCGACAGACTCTCGATCGCGGACACGCACGACAGATCCGTCATCGCATCTTCTCGATCAGCGTCGTACGCGCGCAACCACCGCGCTCGTATTTCACACTCCAGCGTCGCGTCCCAGCGTTCGGAATTCTTCGTCTCCAACTTTATCGTCACCCTCGACCCTCTGACGTCCATTACGTTCGCAAATTCCGCGAAATCTATCTCCCCACGCGCTGTCGTCTCCCACGTCGCTCCGTCGCTCGCTCGTCGCCGCAACAATTCCAGCGTGTACGTCTTCGCCTCGAAACCTCTCCCATCTTTACCCCCGAACAGCGTCGCGATCGTCGCCGTGGACGAGCATCCCTCTTCTTCGCGCGTCCACGTCACCGTCGTCGTCCCGCACGCGTCCGACCGCGTTCGAGTCGTCGCTTCTGCGCTCGTCGATGTTTTCGCGCGTCGTCGCCATCGCACTTTTATCGACTCACTCTCATCCCTCGCGCTCGTCCAGGACGCGGCGATGGGAACGACGTCCACTTCAAACTTACGACCGCCTCTTCGTCCCGCGTTCGTCGCCCTGGCGACGCGCGATAGCGCGCGCATCGGCGTCGATGTGTGAAGCTGGCGGTGCAGAGATTCAAACATTTCCGCACGCGTCGACGCGCGCGCGCCCGCGTGGACGACCATCTCGAACGACGACGGACGCGATGACGCGTGGCGACGATGTGGGTGAATTAGACGCGCGTGACGTCGACGCAGAGGCGACGTGGGTGACGTTTGATGCGGAAACGAGTCGAGATGAGGAACGGTCAAACTTTTTGAGCGAACGGATGACGGACGACGACGACGCGACGGCGGCGCGGTTCGACGCGCGCGACGGTGGATTCGATGGGAACGGTGATGCGCTCGATGTGACGTGCTCGGTGCGCGGTGATTCGGAGCTCGAGCGAGTGCGAGAGCGATTGGCGAGCGCGGAGGCGAACGCGCTGCGCGCGACGGAGGCGCTGGACGCGGAGCGCGCTGGACGAGAGCGCGAACGACGGCGGTTCACGGCGCTTTTGCGGGCGAAAGGAGTGGATGATGCGCGTGATGCGAGCTCGGAGGATGGGGGCGAGGGTGATGGTGGGGGGTGGGGACGCGAGTCGTGAGCGCGCTCGCGAGCGAGGAGGCGACGGTTGAGCGTGACGCGCTGGAGCGGTTCGTTCGACGCGCGCGGAGCGGAGAGGGCGCGCGAGAGGATGGTGGTATTCGGATGACACTCGCGGATGCGGAGGCGGTGTTGGAAGATTTGAAGACGCGGGACGTGGTCTTGGCTCGGGCGAAAGAGGAAGCGACGACTCGCGAGGCGCTGCTCGCGAAATTTCAAGCCGAAGCCGAGTCGAGCACGCGGAAGCTGCGGGATCACGACGAGGCGCACGCGCTGTTGACGGCGGAGATCGATGATTTACGCGATGCTTTGGCGAAGACTAGGGCTGAGTCGAACGCCCTGGCCGAGGAAACGACCGCGCTGAGCGAGGCTCTGGAGAGCGCCAAGGCGGAGGCGCTAGAGTGGAAGCGCGCGGCGGATGTGTTGAAACGCATGCAAGGTGGCGAAGCCACCGCGGGGGATGCGAGATCTGGAGATAAAATGCTTGTTCTTGAGCTTGAGTGCGCGCTCGAGGCGTTGACGACGACACGTGCCGAGTTGGAGGATGTCAGCGCTCGTCTTGCGGCGACGACGCGCAGGGCGGATCTCGCGGAGAAGCGCGAGGCAGTTGCTGCTGCTGCTCTCGAGGCGAGTGAATCTCGCGCCAAACGCGCTGCCGTGCGCGGCACGTCCACAGGCAACACGATGAACAGAGAAGCCAAAGAGCGGCTTGATCGTGCGGAGGTTCGCGTGGCGCAGCTGCAGCGACGATTGGATCAAATTGATGGCGAACATGTTGCGGAAATGCAGACGTTACAGAAGGAACATGAGCGAATCTGTTTGCATCTCAAGATGAATCGCCTTTCACAGGGTGATGCGACGGAGCTCATGCGTCTGGAAATCGAGGACGTCAAGCGTGAGTCCACCGCGCGCGCCGTTAAGGAGCGAGACGCGTACTGGCGAGGTGTTTTGGAGGACGTCGAGCGCGCGCGCGAGGCGGCAGTCGCAGAGCTCAAGCGAAAAATGGAGGGCGAGCTCGTGTCTAAGAATACGCAGTTACAAAGATTTCGGCACGATCTAGTTCAAATGTTGAAAGAGACCGCATAGACGATGTAATCGACACCTTACTTTGAGATGTACACCGTCGGACCGTATCGAGGCCCCGCAGTGTCGATGAGTTTCGCTTTCTTCTTCTTCGGCTTCTCGTCAGCACTTTTCCCACCTTCCTCTTCAAAACCGCTCAGCGACCGAAGAAGTAAAGTCAGGAGCATTTGAAGCTCCTGGTATCTAATTAATATCGCGGCTGACGTACCCGCGAGTCCTAAACCCGGCTCGGCTTTCTCTTTCTCATCGTCCAGCTCAGCGAGGCGCTCTTCGCATTGTTTCATCTCCTGAGCCATGACTTGCACGAGCCGCTGGATATCCAAAGTGCCTTCCGACCAGAAAGACTGTTTACCATCGTAGCGCTCGTACTCCTCGCGCGTAAGGAATTCTAAAAACCTATGGGCGATCAATTCGCGGAGAATATCTTCGTCTATTCGCTTCATGTCGTCGACTTGTGGCGCGCGATGGAAAATGTCACGCGGCAGCATCTTGTCTACTTCCTTGCTGAATTCAGACTCCCACCACTCATCCGGCTTGTCCTGACACATCGTGGCGACGTAACAAAGCGCTAAAAGTCCCGCTGTCATAGTCACGTCCTCCGAGGAATCTTCACACGCGTACTCTAACGCGAATTCTATGCCATCGTATTCCTCCAGAAACCACTCCGCGAGAGCGTAGAAAGTGCCGAGCGCACCTTTGGGGATATTCTCCCACCGATCGGTGCCCAATAAAAAATTCGAGGAGAGGCGACATTGCTCGATGCGCCCATCCGTTTCAACGAATCCGTACTTCGTGTACAGCATGGCGTTATCATGATCGTCTCCAAATGAATTGAAAACTTCCTCTCCGCGCGCGATGTCTCTGCACGACACCAGGCGCAACGCGTCCGGGTACGCATCCTGGTCACCTTCTTCCGCATCGCATCCCTCGACGTCAAAGTGCGCACCTCCGTTTCCTCTGTGATTGAACATGTCCGCGAACGGTACCATTCCTTGTCCCTCTTTTTCATCGACGAAGAATGCGCGACTCGCGACGAGACTCGCCGCCTCGATGAACTCGTTAAGCGTCGGCGGCGGTACCTTAACGTGCTCCTCGTAAAACTCCACCACGCGAGCGTGGTCCTCCTCCATCGCCTCACGATCGTCTTCAAGCGTCAACCGCACGCTTGTTCCTCTCAAAGCCCTACTAACCTCGTCATCCTCACCCTCCGACTCCCGACATCCGGGCAACGCCTCTCGCCTCGGCACGATGCCCAGATACCTCGCGAACGCGCTCTTCGACCCAATCTTCCGCTCGTACGCCACGCACGCCACGAGCGCCGCCTCCTCCAACATCCATAACGCCTCTTTCGCACGCTCGCTCGCGCACAGCGTCGCCAACGCGCTCGTCGACGTCATCAAACACGACGCTTTCGGTATCGAACACAACAGCGTCCCGCACGGAACATCATTCGTCGCGACGACGCGCCTTCCGCGCCTATCGTCGCCGTCCAGTCGCAAAGACGCGTGCACGATAATATCCCGCGTCTTCGTCCACGCATTGAACGAGCGCTCGACGTCGTCGTCGTCCTCGTCGTCGCGCATGCACCGCGCGTCCAACGCCGACGGAACCCGCGCGAGGATAAAAACCGCGACGACCGCGCGCGATCTCGACCGAGACGTCGGATCTCCGTCGAGGACGATTGGAAAAATTTCTCACCGCCGCGTCGTCGTCGGCCTCGCCCGTCGCCCGCGCGCGCGCGTCGTGGAGTCGAGACGAAGATGGCGGGTGCCGACAAAAGCGCCGCATTCATCGACGCGCCCGTCATGGCGCTCGCGCTCGCGCTCGCGGTGACACCACGACGGACTCGCACCGAGTGCGCGCGTCGCATCGAGACGCCGGGCGCGAAACGGGCGTCCGTGGACGAGTACGCGGCGATGATCGCGCGGAGAATCGTCGACAGGAATGAGAGAGACGCCATGCCGGGGGCGGTGTACGACGGTGCCCTGGACGTGCTCACGCGATTTCGCGACGTGCGGGGGGCGGTGATCGATTTCACCGATCGTGGGTTCACGCGTGGGCACGCGGTGTTCGACGCGGCGACGATCGTGGGAGGGAGAGCGCACCTGTTGGAGAGACACTTGGAACGTTTCGGGCGTAACGCGGAGAGAGCGGGATTGGCGAGCGATGGGTTAGGTGTGGATCGCGTGCGGGAGGTGGTGATGGAGACGATCGAAGCGGCGGCGATCATTGGGTGTGGACAGGTGCGCGTGTACGCCACGAGCGGGAGCGATGGGATGAATTTTAGTTTGATGGAGACACGCGGAGTGCAGGCAAAATCAACGCTCTTTGTCGTCGCGTACGCGAAAGATCCAATAAAGTGCGCCGCGAGCGAAGACTGTGTGGGAATGCGGGCGGTATCGAGTCCGGTGACGATCAAGCCGCCGCAGTACGCGACACTTAAATCGACAAATTATTTGAATAACGTCAACGCAGCGCAACATGCGAGGACTGTCGGTGCCGACGTCGGGATTTTTCTCACACGCGAGGGGATGATTGGTGAGGCTCCCGGCGCAAATGTAGCGTTTCTGACTCCTGATGGTACCCTGCGCACGCCTCCGGCGACGGAAATTCTAGGAGGAATCACGATTGGACGCGTGAAGGAATTCATCGAGAATCCCTCCAACGCCACGGAGCTGCGCGCGGTGGGCGTCAAGCGTTTCGACGACACGATGCCGCTTTCGCCTTTCGTCGTGCTCGGCGCTTCGGAGGTAATGCTCATCGGTAGTGCGGTGAACATCCAGGGCATCGTAGAGTGGGATTCAAAAGTGATTGGCGACGGATCCGTTGGGCCAGCGACGAGGCTCTTGGCAAAGTTTCTTGTTGATGACATGGCGGCGGGATCAGGATAGGGTCGTTATAGAGTAATCAACTGGCAGATTTCACATAAACTATTCTACACTATCGCAGCGTCAATTTAGCACACATTTGAACAACATCTAGACTGATGAAGCGCCAATAAGTTGGTTTCGCACAGTTGACCAACTGGATTCTCACCACCTGCACTTGGGCGGATGATGCGTCCAGGCACGTCGTTCACTTCGCACTTCGTGAGCGTCCATACGTAATCGACTGTATTTCCAGGACACGATGGATCATGTTTGGACGTAGTCGCCGCATTACCACGACACAAAGATCCTCCTCTGGTCATGCAATTCCTTCGTGCGTCCGCGAACGTGCGCTTTTCGCAAGACGATGCATCGCCACACTGAAATGGGAATCGAATCATGTTATCATGCCTCCAGCGCAGCTCTGAACAGCAACGCATGTACGGCGCGTTGCATATTTTCGGTCTGACATATGTATGCGCTGTCGGGACACGTAGACCGTTCTCTTGAGCGTATCGTTGCGCTTCTTCAAGAGCCTGATTTGGTAACGATCCATTCCTCTCATATTCGGTGAATTCAATGTCTGTGCCTACGTGAACACAATCTGAAGGATACGACTGCGGTGGATACGACTGCGACGGATACGACTGCGACGGATACGATTGCGATGGGTAAGCACTAGGACTTGGCGCCGGTCCGGTTGGTCCGTTCGGTCCAACCGTTGGTGTCGTCTGGTTGTTCGCCGTCTGGTTGTTCGCCGTCTGGTTGTTCGCCGGGTAAACATTCGGCGGCGGCGGCGCCGTCTGGTTGTTCGCCGTCTGGTTGTTCGCCGGGTAAACATTCGGCGGCGGCGGCGCCGTCTGGTTGTTCGCCGTCTGGTTGTTCGCCGTCTGGTTGTTCGCCGGGTAAACATTCGGCGGCGGCGGCGCCGTCTGGTTGTTCGCCGTCTGGTTGTTCGCCGGGTAATCATTCGCCGGGTAATCATTCGGTGGCGGCGCCGTCTGGTTGTTCGCCGGGTAATCATTCGCCGGGTAATCATTCGCCGGGTAATCATTCGGCGGCGGCGCCGTCTGGTTGTTCGCCGGGTAATCATTTGCCGGGTAATCATTCGGCGGCGGCGCCGTCTGGTTGTTCGCCGGGTAATCATTCGCCGGGTAATCATTCGCCGGGTAATCATTCGGCGGCGGCGCCGTCTGGTTGTTCGCCGGGTAATCATTTGCCGGGTAATCATTCGGCGGCGGCGCCGTCTGGTTGTTCGCCGGGTAATCATTCGCCGGGTAATCATTTGCCGGGTAATCATTCGGCGGCGGCGCCGTCTGGTTGTTCGCCGGGTAATCATTTGCCGGGTAATCATTCGCTGGGTAATCATTTGCCGGGTAGTCATTCGGCGGCGTTGTCGTGTTCTGTTTCGTGCTGTTCCCATCACTCGGGTAGCCATTATCGGTACTACTCGGATAGTTGTTGGTTGTACTCGGATAACCGTTCGTATCACTCGGGTAGCCGTTATCGTGACTACTCGGATAGTTATTGGTTGTACTCGGATAACCGTGAGTCTCGGGTACTTGGTTCTCCAACACGATGGGTGAACCGACGAGTTCTATTCTCGCAACCTGCAAGCCTGAGTGACTTAAATCAGTCGCGAGTTCGTTCGTCGCAGTTGTATTCTGACTTAAACTCTCCAGTGCGTCTGATACCGCGATGGCTTCGTGCGGATCGATTGTCTGCACGCTAAAATCAACGTCAACACCCTCGTCTGCCAACAAGCGGCGGCGATACTGCGTGCTATTCGCATCGGATACTCTGGCGATTGTGATACTCGTGTCGCTCACATTTAGAAACCCTGCCATGCCAGTTATGAATGCACTTCGCGCACTGGCGTCGAATTCGCTCGCAGTTATACCTTCCAAGCGAAGGATGCTCTTGCACACGTGTTGTACGTTCGTCTGCGTCGCCAGGTCTTGTACTGCAACGCGTAGCCTGCCGTGAACCAGTGCGACGACTTGCGCGGGAAAGCCTCGTGAGACGAGCCCAACGTTGAAATTACTCGACTGCGCCGACTCAGTTGTCCGCATTAGGACCAGGGCCTCCGCGATCCCCGTCGCCACCGTCCGTCCCAGCACCTTGAGTTGAAAGTCAACTGTGAACGAGTCCAACGCACTGCCGCTGAGTCCAACTTTTACGTCGGTATTCGTGAGCCGGAAAAAGTGCGCCATCGCGTCGCTAAATTTTTCCCAATCGCACTGTTCGTTGCCGCATCCGGTGACGTTGAACTTGCCGGAAACGATGAATTTCTGCTGCAAAGTCGAATCACGCGCCGGATAGTGCGCCGGATAGTGCGCCGGATAGTGCCGTGTGCTCTCGTTCGTCCCCTCCCCGAGCGTCGCCACGAGCGACTCCGGCACATTTCCAATCGAAACCACGGCGAGCATCGACGCCCCGATAGCGATCGTTCGCAAGATGGCTGTCGTCGACGCGAACCGTCCGCGTCTCGTCTCGCCCGCAACCGCTTCGCCCGTTCCGTAGACCCCTCGCTCACCGCCACCTCCACCGATGAGCGTTGATCTCGCGTCATCGTCGACGCCTATATCCCCCATCATCGACGCCACGACCGCGACGACGGCGACGGCGGCCCAGACGACCGCGGCGCCCCGTCCCGCCGCGAGCGCGCCCGCAACACCCACCCCTCCTCGCCGTCCGCTCGCGTCGACGCCCGCGTCCTCCCCCGCGCCCGACCACCCTCCCGACGCCTCCGCGACGATCGCACCGAGCATCACCGCGAGCCCGATCGCGCGCGCGACCGCGGTGCGGGCGACGGTCGCGCGCGAACGACCTCCATCGCGCGCGCTCGCCCGTCGTCCCATCGTTCGCCCCGTCATCGCTCGCCCTCGACGACGCCCGTGGCTCACGCGGACGACGCCGCGGACGTCGACGACGCGCTCGAGCGTCGCGCGTCGTCGAGGACGCGATCGAGACGCGCGACGCGCGATGGCGACGTCGCGCGCGATCGCTCGCGCGTCGTCCGCGGATGCGTCGGGTCCGTCCGTAGAGTGCGCGTCTGGAGCCCATCAAATATAAAATACATGGCGCTATGGGTCGTGAACTATGACGACACGCGCGACGCGACGCGACACCCCCGCGCGCATGGCCACCGACGCCGCGGACGCGACCTTCGAAGCGCTCGAGCGTCGGTTAACGCGGGTCGTGGACGCGATCGCGGATAAACCCGCGCGCGCGCGCGCGCGGGCGTGGATTGAAAAAATGCGCGCGCCGGAGAAGAACGCGGCGCTGAAGATGAATCGTAACAGACACGCGGAATTGTTGCTCGCGATGCTGCTCGCGGGAGACGTCCGACGGCCGTTCGATGGGTTGCCGGCGCCGGGAAGACTTGCGCGATTCGCGTGGGACGACGCGGTGGGGTACGGGTGCGATCGGGTGCTCGAACGGGCGGACGCGGCGGCGGCGGCGGCGGATGGGCGACGCGGGGGCGGGACGGACGCGGCGAAGGCGACGCGGGCGAAGGAGACGCGGACGAAGACAGGGGGGGGGGATGCGAGCGCGCGGGCGGTGGAGGCGGAGTGTGGTTGGGTCTCGGGGGCGCGCGCGCGCGTGGGGACGAGCGTGGAGGCGGCGGGGACGGAGGAGAAGTCGCGCGAGGCGTTGCAGATCGAGGTGAAGCAGTTGCGGGCAAAGGTGGAGCGGCAGAGTGATAAGATCGCGTCGTTGAAGGAAGAACTCGCGCGCGAGCGTGAGGGGCGGACGCGGGAGTTGGCGTCGACGCAGGCGAGACACGAGCGGGAGGTGAAAAAGATTGTTGCCTCGGCGAGGGGCGTCAAGGCGCCCCCGTCCTCGTCGGCGCCTTCGCCTCCGACGTTGAAGCCACTCAGCAGCGCGGGCGTAGATTTCGATGATTTCATTGCTAAATTTCAAGCCGAGACGGGTCGCCTGCGGAAGGCTCTCGAGCGCGGTCGAGGGGGCGTCTTGGCGTAAGCTTGCGGGAGCGCTCGCATTACAAATCGTAGAGCTTTGTGTATTTGTCGTTCAGATATTCGACGAATTCGTTCGCGTCGAGCGGTTTGCCCGTCACCTTAATCATGAGTTCATCGACCGTGTCGCACTCGCTCCCGCGCTCGTGCATGTTCGTTCGAAGCCAGGACAAGAGCGGGGCGAATTCGCCTTGTTTAATTTGTTCATCGAGGCCTTCAATTTGGCGCTTGGCGGCGTTGAATACTTGGCACGCGAGAATCTGACCAATGATGTACGTCGGGAAGTAACCAATGGCGCCGGATGACCAGTGCACGTCTTGCAACACGCCCTGCTTGTCGCTCTCGACGTCGACGTTGAGGTATTCTTTCATCTTGGAGTTCCAGAGCTTTGGAAGATCATCGACCGTGATGGTTCCCTCGAGGAGATCCATTTCCAACTCGGTGCGCAGAATGACGTGCATGGGATACGTCACCTCGTCCGACTCGACGCGAATAACGCTGTTCTTCTTCACGACGTTGAATCCGGCGTAAAGTAACTCTGGGGTAACGTCGTCGAATCGACCCGGAAAAGTCTCTCTTAGCTCGCCTAACAGGAACGTCATAAATGGTTCGCCCAAGCCAACCATGCGCTCCCAGAGCAGAGACTGCGACTCGTGGGCGCCCATGGAGTGAGCATCTGAAACAGGTTGACCCGCATACTCTCGAGAACGGCCCATTTCGTACGCCGAGTGTCCAGCCTCGTGAATGCACCCAGTGAGGCCTTCCATGATGTCGTCCTTCTTGTATCGAGTCGTCATCCTGACGTCGTCCGGACCGCATCCTCCCGTGAACGGATGGACGCTCACGTCGAGACGTCCTTTCGTGAGATCGAAACCGATCTTTACCGCCACCGCTTTGGCGAGGGCGGCTTGCTTTTCGACGTCAAACTCGCCGTGAAGAGGATTGGATCGTCCAGCGAGCGCCGTGGGTCCATCCTTCGCGTACACCTTTTGGATCAGAGGCACCACACCCGCTCGAACGACGGCAAAAATTTCCCTCAACCGCTCAGAACTCATACCTCGCTCATAATCGTCCAACGCGGCGTCGTACACCTTCTTCTCGGGCGCCACGAGCGCGCACCTCTCTCGCGTCAGAGCGACCCATTCTGTCAAAACTGGAGAGAACGCGGCGTACGAACCGCTCTCCCGCGCCTTGACCCACGTCTGGTACCCTCGACTCCCAAGCTCGGCCCGTCGCTTTTCCAACTCAGCCGACACCGCCGTCGCCTTCGTGTACTCCTCTTCGGCGCGCTTTCGATTCGCTCGGTCCTTCGGTTGAAGCGTCTCCGTCGCCGACTTCTCCAAAAGTTCACCAATCTCCTTCGACGTCGCGCGCTCGTGAATCACCCCCGCGAGCGTCGCCATCGCTCGACCACGAGCCTTCGACGCGCCCTCGCCGGAGGGGAGCATCACGAGCTCGTCCCATCCGGCGAGACCGCTGATCGAGCGCAAATCAGAAATCTCAGAGAGTTTGCTCTTCAGCGCATCGTACGCCGGCGTCGCGTTCATAGTGACACCGCGCGCGTGTGCGCGACGACGTGTGAATCTCGAGGTACGCCCGAGCGCGCGCGCGGTCGGTCGCGTGGACGACGCGAGCATGAAAGTGACGTCGTAGGTAAAAAGCAGACGAGGATCCATCCACGTCATCGTTCACTGTTTACACCGCAGACGACGACGCGCATGGCGCGCGCGCGCGTCTCGGCGGCGACGACCGCTCGCGCGACGGTGTGCACACCGCGAGCCGGTAGGACGCATCGAAGCGCGCGGCACGGAGCGCGAAGAGCGCGCGAGAAGTTTAAAGTGCATTCGTCGAGCGATGACGCGAACGACGACGCGCGACGCGATGGGACCGCGAGCGCGTCCACGAGCGCGTCAGTGGACGACAACGATATCAGACAATCGCTCTTCGGCGTCGACCTCGCGAGCGTGGGACCGGGTTTAGCCCCGAGTGCGCTCACGGCGTCGCTCGGCGCGTTCGCGTTTGGATATCACACCGCGGCGTGTAACGCGCCCTTGGACGCGATCGCGAACGATCTCGCGTTCGGCGGTGATCAAGGGTTGAAAGGATTGGTCGTAAGCGCGCTCGTGATCGGGGGCGCGCTGGGGGGTCTGGGTGTGGGCGGGGTGAGCGACGCGCTCGGGCGGCGGTTGACGCTCGCGTGGACGAGCGCGCCCCTCATCGCGGGTGCATTGATGAGCGCGTACGCGCCGAACGCGGCAGTGATGATCGCAGGGAGGTTCATCGCGGGTGTCGGCGTGGGCGCGTCGTCGCAGATCGTGCCTCTGTATCTGAGCGAAATATCGCCGCCGGCGCTGAGAGGGACTTTGAACGGTGTGCGGAGGATGGCGTACGTGTTCGGATGTTTAGCGGCGTTTCAGATCGGTGACGGCTTGAAGGTGACGGGTGGAGAAGGATGGTGGCGAGAGGTCTTCATCGACGCCACATTTCCCGCGGTTTTGCTCGCCGTAGGTGCGATGACGATTGCGCAAGAGAGTCCAGTATGGCTACTGACGAGGCAAGACGAGGCGTCGGTGAAACAATCGCGCAAGGCGCTCGCGATTTTACAAAACATTCGCGGTCGAAACGCACGGGCGTGGCAGAATTCGCTCATGAGCGCCGCGGCAGCGCCGTTTAGCATAGACGAGGGTGATGAGGAGACGGAGGAAAAATCGTGCCCGCGCGAGACACCGACGGTGTCGTCCTGGGGTGATTTGATCTCCCAGGAGAGGAATCGTCTACCGCTGTCGATCGGTATCACGCTATGCGGATTGTCTGCATTTTCCGGTGCGAACACCGTCATCTTCTACGCCTCCACGGTGTTCACGAGTGTCGGGATCAATAACGCCGACATCCTCACATGGGCCGTCGGTGTCCCAAACGTCATTGGCGGATTTGTTGCACTGGCGCTCAGCGACAAAGTCGGGCGTCGCCCACTTCTACTCGCCTCATTCAGTGGTATGAGCGCGTGCCTGGGATTTCTCGCATTCGCCGCGTTTTTGACGCCGCAGAACATGCCAATCAACGCATACTGCGCTGATCCAAATCTCGGCGTTCTCGTCGGAGCTCTGAATCCCCCAATCGACGACGGGTTGTACTCGTACCCGACACTCTCCGCGGCGCAGATAATCTGCGTTGATCTTGGCACCGACTTGACGGCAATGGGTCCGGCGCAGCCGGAGGCGGCGGTCGCCCTCGTCACCATTCCTCTGTACGTTTTATTCTTTTCTCTCGGCGCCGGTCCGATTCCGTGGTTGCTCTACAACGAAGTGTTCCCAACTCGGATACGCGCGAGAGCGGTCTCGGCATGCACAGCGTTGAACTACGCGGCGAATTCCATCATCGGCGCGACATTCTTGCCAATGGTGAGCGCTTACGGCTTGAGCGGATCGTACGGGTTGTACACGCTGTTGTGCGCGGCGGGATACGTCTTCGTGGACAGATACGTGCCGGAGACCAAGGGAGTTCCTCTCGAGGACGTCGAGGCACTGTTGAGGCGCACCGCTCACGGTAAAAGTCTCAAAGCTTCCGATTAATCGACGCGCGCTCGAATGTTCACGCGCTTGTAAGTATTATTTCATATAACTTTGTAAAATGTACACCGGCGCTCGCGCGAGCGAAATCGAGGCGTCGACAAAGGCGCTGATAATCAACCGCCGCGGTGGTCTCCGTGAAGAGTCCGTTCCCGCCGCGGTATCACGCACGCGCCTTTGCATCGTTTGACGTCTCACGCATCGCCCTCCCGAGCGTCGTCATCGCTACCGATTCGGGACGTCCGCGTCTCGCCAACCGCCGCTCGTCGAGTCGGCGCGGACGATTCGCATTCAAACATCCCTATCGTCCTCACCCACCACCCACGGGCGCGGAGTGATCGATCGTTCGGACGTTTGCAAATCCACGAACGTCTCCACCCCCCCCCGGGCGACGCACCGGCGCGCGCGAGGCCGTGGACGCGCGCGAAAGCCCATTCGTCCCACGCGCGTACGTCTCCGCGTACCCATCGATCACGAGCGTCCGCACGAACGCGTCGGCGACGTCGACGAGGTGCCAACACGCCCCAGAGAGGGAGAACGGCTTCGCGCGCCGCGTCGTTCCGTCGCGCGCGACGTACGCCATGGCGTCGTCCGCGTCGCGCGGTGGCGATCGATCGCGCACCGAGTGACTCACGGATGAGTCATGACTCACGAAGGACCGCCCATCACCGCCGCCGCCGCCGCGCGCGCGCGCACTCGCGCGCGATGCCCGCGCGCGGACGCGAATCGAGCGCGGTGACGCGGAAGCGATGCGTCTTCACCGTGGCGGTCCATCCGAGCGCGCTGGGCGATCCCTTGAGAGGCGCGCGCGTCGTCATCGATGGGTTACGCATGCGACACGTCGCGGCGCTCGGCGGCGTGCTCATGGCGTGCGACGACGCGCGCCTGACGGGCGTGGAGGACGTCGAGGACGATGGATCGAACGATGATGATGCGTCGAATGGATGCGCGCACTTTGAGGGCGATAGGGGGGGTAAAGGCGACGCGGTGTCCACGCGCGCGCACGGACGCGTGCTCCACGCGAGCGGACACGTCGACGTGTGCGTCGAGGCGGATTGCGACGTGTTCACGCCCGTGCGAGGGTCGAGATTGGTCGGAACGGTGAATAAGATTGCGCATGATTTCATCGGAGCGCTGGTTTTGGATAAATTCAACGTCGCGATCGCGGCGGGGGACATTCGAGAGGAGTTGGTGAGCGAGAGCGAGGAGTGTTGGCGGAGCGCGTGGGACGCGAGTCACGCGATTCGCGTCGGGTCGCAAATCGTTTTCACGGTGAAAGCGGTGACGGAGAGCGACGACGTGGTGTTGCTTCGAGGATCAATGAAGGATTCGGACACGGGTGAGCGCGAGTACGTGGCGCGATCGTCGAGCGGGATCACGAGCATTGAACAGAAGCTCGCGCCGCCCGAAAAGTGTGCGAAGAAGGAGAAGAAGGAGAAGAAGGAGAAGAAGGAGAAAAAGGAGAAGAAGGAGAAGAAGGAGAAGTCGGCGAAAAAAGAAAAGCGCGATCGCGACCGTTCAAGCGCGGACGCCGCCGACGACGGAGAGAAGCGTCGAAGAACGGACGAGTGAGCGCGCTTTGTAACGCCGACATTCGGCTCGTAGATAGCAACCGCCTCGCGCGACGCCTGCGCCATCCGCACTTCGGCTCGCGCGTTCGTCTCGACGCCATGGCGTTCCCGAAGAAAATCTCCGCGTACATGGCGTACTCCAACGTGCACAGAGACGCCGTGAAGAGAGGGCTCATCGAGAGCGGCGTCGAGAAGCCGTCGATCGCGGATGTCGCGCGCGCCATCTCGGCGCGTTGGAACGCGCTGAGCGACGACGAACGCGCGGTACGTACGATGCGCGCGAGGTGTACGCGCGCGGTGATCATCGCGTGTTCGCTTCTTCCACGCGCGCTCGACGACGACGGCCGTGGGCGAAGGCGCGAGGCGAGAGGGACGCGGGCGCGGGACGCGTCGTCGACGTTTAAAACGCGCGCGGACGCGAATGGCGCGGAAAGACTGACGAATACCGGTGATTTGGACTGGTAGGCGCTGAAAGCGGAGCAGGAGGCGGCGTATGAGACGGCAAAGGCGGCGGCGATCGCTCGGGGGGAGACGCCCGAGGAGAAGGGCGCGGGTGACGCGAGCGGCGACGGCGACAAGGACCCGAGCGACATCACGCTCCCGGTGGCGCGCGTGCGGAGGATCATCAAGCTCGATAAAGACGTGAAGCAGGCGAGTGCGGAAGCGATCAAGTGCGTGACCAAGGCGGTGGAATTGTTCATGGAAGGTTTGGCCGAGGGTTCGCATCAGGGCATGCGCGCGGCGAAGAGAAGAGGTGTACACTATCGAGACCTGGAGAATTTCGTGATGCGGCGCGGCAAGTATGAATTCTTACACGACCACGTGTGGGCGATGCGACCGCGCGAGACCGTGGGTGAAGGTGGTGACGATGACGACGAAGACGAAGAGACGGCATCGGCGAAGAAAGCGAAGAAACTCGCGGACGCTGCGGGGTCGAAACGGGTGACGGATTTCTTCCAGACGGGGCCGAGCCCGGTGAAGAAGCCGAGGAGCGAGGAAATCGATATCGACGACGACGCGCCCGCGGAGGACGCATCCGCGGGCGTCGTTGTCCCGGAGACGGAGGTACAGTAGAAGCTTAAATGTTTCTCGTCGAATTGAAAAGAACGATAGAATTCCATAGTTACAATTGAGGTAGTTTTACCGCCTTGTACCGGTACAAGAATCGACGAGACGCTTCCTCTCGAACGTCCTTCGTCAATAAAACTAACCAAACACCATATTTCTTCCCTCTACGACCTCCGACCTTTCTCCGCCCTCACGGGAGCTCATCATATACCCCTTCGACCCTACGCGCGCGTCCGCTGCTCGCCACCTGTTGCCAATACTCCGCCTCGTCCGCGTCCGCGTTGCACCCGTATCCCACCACCAACATTTGCGCGCACAGCGCCGCCGCATTCGCGTCCCCGCTCTTCGCCAAACGCAACGTCTCCACGTACCACCGCGCGGTGGCATTCAATACGCACGCACTCAACTTCCCCGTTTCCATCGGTTCCATCGTCTCCTCGACGACGTAACACCGCAACTCGTGCGTCGCGTCGTGCGTTCCTCTCCCCTCGCCGCTCGACGCGCTCGAATCGCTGAATCCAGAATCACTCTCGCTCTCTCCCGCGCTCGCGACCTCCCACCCGCCCTCGCGCTGTCTCTTATGTTGTCTCTTGTGACACGCGTCGCACAGGTCGTAATCTTCGCACCGTTCGCACACCCAGCGTCGGCGCGTGATCGGGAGATCTCCGCACGCGTCGCACGAGTACTGTAACTGCGGCCACGTGATCGAGGGCTCGTACATCCGACACCGTCGGAAACGACGGCGCGAACGACGCACGGAACGACGCGCGGAGTGCGTCTCGTCGGCGTCCCGGCGCGCGCGTCGCGCGGTGCGGGCGTCGACCTGGATCGACCGCCAGGGTTTTGGTCGACCGCCAGGGTTTTGGTCGACCGTCGTATGTCATGTATGATGAACGCTATGTGGGTACGCTTTTACGTATATACGGGCGATTTTACGTGTCTGTGCACGCAAGCGATGTCGCGGTTCGGGAGACGAAGAGACGTTTTCGCGACGACGGATCGCTCGCGCGCGTCGCGGTCGTCACGGCGCGTCGATCGAACGACGCGGACCTCGAACGCGGCGCGACGTGAGCGCGAAGATCACGCGCGCGTCGATCGATGCGTGTGTCGGTGCGATGTGGACGGGAGATGGGTGAACGCATCGAGAGACGGTTCGAGTCGTGCGCGGAAGAGGTGACGATGACGATGGGTCGCGCCCGTTCGGCGATGGATCGACGGACGCTCTCGCGACGACTCGGTATCGCGATCGCGCTGATTATTGGTTGGATAAACTCGGTGGAGGCGTCGAGTGGTGATCTTGCGGCGACGTGTGGGTGGGAATCGAGGTGGGAGACGCGGGTCGCGGGCGACGCGGCGACGTTGGATGGCGCGTGCGGCGCGATGGGCGGTGACGACAGAACGACCGTCGTCGAAGGTCGAAATGGGGTTTGGTTTCACGGTGACGGTGGGATGATCATGACGACGGGGTCGATGAATCGGGCGGTGGAGTCCATCGTGGGGGGTGAAGGCGCGTTCTCTATTGAAATCGTCGTCGTCCCGGACGCGCAGGCACCGCAGTTTGGAGTGACGGAACCGCTCGTGACGTTTTCGACGTCCACGAGGGCCATCGAGTGGCAGCACTATTGTGGTGGTGACGATGGGTACTATCTATCCGTTTGGATCCGTCACGATCGCGTGGGTGTGTGTGCGCGCGCTCTCGCTTGGTGGGCGCCGTATCAATGCACACTGGATACAAACATGTACGGCAACGACGTGCAAGCTCTCTCGCGCGGATTCGTAAATACGATTACCGTGATGTACGATATCACAAATGGCGTCCGAATCGCCGTAAACGGTACACGGACGTTCCCACCGGATTCGTTTGGCTCTACGTATCGACATCAGGACGGAATAGACGTCGTCAGAGCGTGGAACGCGAGTGATTCCCGAGTCGTCGTTGGTGCATACGGCTCCAATGCCTTCACTGGCGTCATCTACGCGCTCAGAGTGTATGACCACGCGCTGAGCGCGGAAGACTTGCTGCGAACTGCGCGTGAGTCGTTACCAATCTCGAAGCCATACGCGCTCTCCATCAACGTCACATGCGAGGAGGACTCATCAACGCATGTCAAGCTCGAAGCGGCGAACGTCTTGGGCGATGCGGTGCGTTTCCGCCTCGTCTCCATACCACAATTAGGTAAAATATTCGACGACGATAACGAGGCCCCAATCGTCGAAGCGCCATGCGATCTACGAGGATCCACGGTGAGATTTGAGCCGGCGCCAAATGAACACTCAGTTGCAAGCGCCGCGGATGAACGTTTCGATTACGCTTCTTTCGAATTTGAGGCGTTCGACACTGAAACGAGTAAAGTCAACGTCACGCATCGGGCGACCGTGCGCGTGCGCGTGGTAAGCGTGAATGACGCACCGACGACGAGCGAGGTGCACATGGTGGCGTACGTCGGCATTCTAGAGCGCATTCGACTACCTTTCAGCGATCTCGACGTCGACGACCAGGCCGCGGCGGTCGTCATAACACGCGAACCGAAGTACGGTAGTCTTTATTCGTGCGACGGTGATGCGGCGATGACGAGCGCGCTGAATCTAGGATCAAGCGTTGCCGTGGGCGCATCGCCGTGCCTGGCCTACGTTGCAAACAAATCGAGCAACGTCGACTCCATGGAGTACGTCATCATCGACTCGAGCGGTGCTCGCAGCGATCCCGCAACCCTTGCGGTAACGATAAAAATACCATGCGCTGCGCTCGATCGACATCAGACGCTGAACGAGGACACGAACGGTAAGATACGTTTCGTGGCTGCGTGTGCGTCCTCACGAGCAGTCACAGCACGAATAATGGCGCCACCGAGGCACGGGAAAATCACGAACGGACTCGCGATCGTCCTTCACGCTTCAGAGTGCACTAAAGACGAAAATACTACGTGCGCTGAGTGGTGGCGCAACGCGTCGTCGCCTTCGTGTGCGTGCGGTGCTTTCGATTACGTTCCAGAGCCCAACTACTTTAACATTCCGGGAAAAGACATTTACGGTCGAAATATGTCGCTCTCTGGGACTCCAGCGGCATCGTGGGACATTGGAAATTCGGATACTGCGAGAGTGAGAATTGAAACAGTCGATAACACGGTGACAGACCCGTACGTCGTGTACATTTCAGTGCAAAACGTCTTTGACGTACCGATGATTCACATAAGAACCAGCGGCATTGAAGCTGCCGGAGCCATCACGCCGAACACAACATCTTTCGCACTTTCGGGAGCGATCGATATGGATATATCGCCCGATTACGATGCGCACGCGATATCGGTAACGATGACGAGCGTGTACGCGGAGACGATGGCTCTTAGTGACGCGCGCTTTGATTGGCTCAGGCCTTTCGGCGGCTCCAACAAGCGCATCTTACGCCTCATTGGTCCGGCCTCGGCGGTAGCGGACGCGCTCAAGCGCGCACAAATTACATTCATTCCGAGAGACGCTAGGACATCCGCGCTCGTGGATAATGTGATGGTTCGAATCGTCATCGGCGTCCGTCCAATCGTTGGCGCTCAATGCGACTTGGGTCAGGAGTGTTACTTCCAATCCACGGTCAATGACCCAGCGTGCGACGCCGCAACGCCACCGTCGATACCGTGCGCTATCGAGATCAAGATTCCAGTCGCCATCGCCGACTCGCCAGCCTACATTGCCACGATCAACTCGCGAGCGGCGCAACGCGGTGGCTCGTCAAGATCCGTCCAGGAACGCGCTCGCGTCGTCTTCGCCATCTGGTTCGCCTTCGGCGTCCTCACCTTCTGGCTCATCAACAAGTGCGCCTCGTTCGCTCGCATGCGCGCCGCCGGTGCTTTCGGATTCTAACGCCTCGCGACTCCCACCGCTGCTCCCTGACGCTCTTCGGCGCGTTTCTAATCCATTTCCCCAGAGATAAATCCAAATACGTATAAATCCCAACCCGAACGCTGTATGCACCACACTCATGAAACATTTCACCACGCACACTCACTGTCTTAACCATACCTAAAACACGACCCATACCGAACCCTAGAAATTCGACATATTCGTCGAGTCTTGTTCGGGGTCTCAGCGAACGCGCCGTCACTCTCGCGCACGCCGCCGGGAGCCGCTTCGACGACGCACAGAACCAGTCACCATGGTGAAGGTACGGAACGAAAACATTACTGTCCTATGACGCGATTCTCGCACGCGCACCACGCGCGTGCCGACGCGCGATACGTCGTTGATGACGGAGGATTACGCTGCGATCGATCGATCCCTGACTGACTTTGCTTTTCTGACACCTTCGCCGTCGACAGTTCACCATCGATGAGCTGCGCAAGCAGATGGATCACAACAAGAACATCCGTAACATGTCCGTCATCGCACACGTCGATCACGTAAGTATTTGAGCGCCGAGAGACGCGACTTCGATCGTTAGAATGCGCGCGGGTGGGGTTTGCGTGTCGGAAAAAGGAAAAAGCTAGTTTGTGCGGGCAAACAGTCTGCTTGATTGAGGAAGCCGCGAGGAACCGATGGCTCGTCCACGAGCGCGAGACTGACTTCGAATTCACGATGCAGGGTAAATCCACGTTGACGGACTCCCTCGTCGCCGCGGCGGGGATCATCGCGCAAGAAAACGCTGGTGACGCGCGTCTCACGGATACGCGTCAAGATGAGCAAGATCGGTGCATCACAATCAAGTCCACCGGTATCTCTCTGTTCTACGTCATGGACGACGCCGACCTCGCGCGATTACCGAAGAATGTCCCGCGTGATGGTAACAACTACCTGATCAACCTGATCGACTCCCCGGGTCACGTTGACTTCTCCTCCGAGGTGACGGCGGCGCTTCGTATCACGGACGGCGCCCTCGTCGTCGTTGATTGCGTTGAAGGTGTGTGCGTCCAAACCGAAACCGTGCTTCGTCAAGCGCTCGGTGAACGCATTAAGCCGGTCATGACTGTCAATAAGCTCGACCGTTGCTTCCTCGAACTCATGTATGACGGTGAAGAAGCTTACCAGAACTTCTGCCGTGTCATCGAGAATGCGAACGTCATCATGGCCACGTACACCGATGCAGCTCTCGGCGATGTTCAAGTCGCACCGGAGAAGGGCACCGTGTGCTTCTCCGCTGGTCTTCACAACTGGGCGTTCACGCTCACCGTGTTCGCCAAGATGTACGCCTCGAAGTTCGGCGTCGAACAAGACAAGATGATGGAAAAGCTCTGGGGCGACAACTTCTTCGACCCGGCCGAAAAGAAGTGGACCAAGAAGAACACCGGCTCCAAGACGTGCATGCGTGCGTTCGTCCAATTCTGCTACGAGCCGATCCGCCGTGTCATCGATGCCGCTATGAACGACAACAAGGAAAAGCTCTGGCCGATGCTTGAAAAGCTTCAAGTCAAGGAGAAGCTCAAGCCGGCTGACTTTGACTTGATGGGCAAGCCGCTGATGAAGCGTGTCATGCAAACCTGGTTGCCTGCTGACGTCGCTCTTCTTGAGATGATTATCTACCACTTGCCGTCCCCGGCCACCGCGCAAAAGTACCGTGTCGACACCCTCTACGAGGGTCCGCTTGACGACAAGTACGCCACCGCCATCCGCGAGTGCGACGCCAACGGTCCGCTGATGTTGTACGTTTCCAAGATGATCCCGACCGCCGACAAGGGTCGCTTCTTGGCCTTCGGCCGTGTCTTCTCTGGTACCGTCCAAACCGGCCAAAAGGTGCGCATCATGGGCCCGAACTACGTTCCGGGTGACAAGAAGGACTTGTACGTCAAGTCCATCCAGCGTACCGTCTTGTGTATGGGTCGCCGTCAAGACGCTGTTGACAACGTGCCGTGCGGTAACACCGTCGCCATGGTTGGTCTCGACCAGTTCATTCAGAAGAACGCCACCATCACTGGCGAAAAGGACGTTGACGCGCACACGATCAAGGCAATGAAGTTCTCTGTATCGCCGGTCGTTCGCGTCGCTGTTGAGTGCAAGAACTCTCAAGATCTTCCGAAGCTCGTCGAAGGTCTCAAGCGTCTCTCCAAGTCCGATCCGATGGTTCAATGCCAAATCGAAGAGACCGGTGAGCACATCGTCGCTGGTGCTGGTGAGCTTCACCTCGAAATTTGCTTGAAGGATCTTCAAGAAGATTTCATGGGTGGTGCCGAAATCCGCATCTCTGACCCGGTTGTGTCCTTCCGTGAATCCGTCAACGGCACCTCCGACCACATTTGCATGTCGAAGTCCCCGAACAAGCACAACCGCCTTTACTTCCAAGCGGTGGCGATGGACGAGGGTCTTGCCGAAGACATTGACAACGGTGAGGTCACCCCGCGTGACGACCCGAAGAATCGCGGCCGCTACTTGGCCGACAAGTATGGCTGGGACAAGGATCTCGGTGCCAAGAAGATCTGGTGCTTCGGTCCGGAAACAACCGGCCCGAACCTCATCGTGGACATGTGTAAGGGTGTTCAGTACCTCAACGAAATCAAGGATTCGTGCGTTGCGGCGTTCCAATGGGCGACCAAGGAAGGTGTGCTCGCCGAAGAAAACATGCGTGGCATCAAGTTCGAGATCCACGACGTCGTTCTCCACACCGACTCCATTCACCGCGGTGGTGGCCAAATCATCCCGACGTGCCGTCGTGTCTTGTACGCTTCCATGCTCACCGCGGAGCCGCGTCTCCTCGAACCGGTCTACTTGGTCGAAATTCAGGCTCCGGAGCAAGCGCTCGGTGGCATCTACTCTACCGTCACCCAAAAGCGTGGTATGGTCATTGAAGAAGTCCAACGTCCAGGTACGCCGATTTACAACATCAAGGCGTACTTGCCGGTCATGGAGTCTTTCGGTTTTACGGGTACTCTTCGCGCGGCGACTTCCGGCCAAGCGTTCCCGCAATGTGTGTTCGATCACTGGGATATGCTTAACAGCGATCCGCTCAACCCGGATTCTCAATCCGGTAAGCTTGTCTGCGATATTCGTAAGCGTAAGGGTTCCAAGCCGAACGTCCCGCCGCTCAACGAATACGAAGACAAGTTGTAATCAGGTGCGATTGGCGCAGCTTTTGATGAAATACATCTTTCTAATACGAATAACTTCATCTATCCGTTTCCCGGCCCACTCGTATGACCCGCGCACGCCGCTCACACGCCAACGAGAAAGAGAGACGTTCAGCGTCTTGCCTTGCGGCGGAGAGCTCGTGTCGAAGAGTAAGATTATCTAAGCGTTTATTGTCATCGATCAACTCGAACTGCGTGGAAGTTGCCGTGAACGCTCGTTTGATTGAGTTGAGCAAAGTCTCAACTCTAGACTCCTTGTCATCTTTTCCCGTCGACGCAATAACGAGTGCAATCGCGAAGAAGACGCGCGCCAGGGCAAGAGCGATGCCAGAGATCACCGTTCGAATGCGATCACTCATGCGCGCCGCGGAATCGTACGGGAGAGCGTCTTCTGCTTAAGTATGTGACAACTTGTCAACGACGGGACAGATGCTAGTGACTAATGAGACGGATATTTGAAGTGGGATCCCAGGTGATACCAGTCGAGAAGCAACTCATGATCGGCCTCGCACGTGTAGTTGTCACGCCAGGTGAGATAGATCATACTCGCTCTGTAGTGGAACCACGCCGAGGAAACCACCAAGAAATGGAAAATATTGTGACTGCAGCCAAAGTGATCAAACGATCCCGGACGGAAGCGCTCGGGAATTTGCAACCCGTACAAAGCCGCACCCGAAATGTAACCCACCGCCATGGCCATTTCCCAACGAAAAGCTTCCATGACCGGAGTCGGGGTGATGCGCCAAACGAAAAAAACCTGCTGAAAAATAGGGAAAATTCCAAAGCTACCCAAGGCAACGAAGAGCGTTGCGCGCAGATGCGCATATTCCACCTTTTGGAAAGCCTTGAGGTAAGTAGGGATCAATGCGAGGCACCCTAATGTGGTGACCCCCGTCAGGTAAAAGAATCTGAAACCCGGCAGGCAGTAATACTGATAATGAACGATCGGATAGAAACTGGAAACAATCAATACCGCGATGCCGAAGTAGTCGAGCCGCCACATCTGTTCCGATTCAACCTTTCCAACGCAGCAATACGTGTGACACACCGCGCTCAAGGATAGACACAACACCGCTCCGGCTAAGAACAGATACATTGGCCATCGTGCGACCGGCTTCACGGGCTCAGGATCGTCCGGCACGTGTTCAATATGTTGCTGAAGCTGCTTCAACTTGGTCCTCAATTTTCTGCACTGCTCGGCAAATGCACTGAAGTCATCACCGCCCGATCGCTCGAGCGCCGTGAGTACCTTTTGCGTTTTAATGAGCGATCGTCTAAGAATCATTCGGCGCTTATCCACCTTGAAAGCTTCCTCGCCGGTCTCCAAGTGCTCCGCGAGCTCGTGAGTTACGTTGAGCAACTCGTGCGCGACGTCGTGCACAGCGTGACCTGCGGCGCTCCCCTTCAAAACTTTCTCGTGTAGATCCACGTCGATCGCGCGTAAATCATCTCTATCTCGCCGTATGTCCTGTCTCCATCGCGTGGCGTACTGAATCCTCTCCACGCGCGCCACGTCCGCACCCGTTACCCAATAGTCCGGCGGCGCCGACAATCCCACCCCGGCGTGCGTCGTCTGAAACGTCCGCACGATCAGCGCGACGAACATCACCATCCCGATTAAATGACTCCATATGTTCACCGTGTCGTTGTGCCACTTAAACACGCTCGCAGTGGCGCCGCGCCAGCCGAAGCCAACCCGGTAGCCGCTCCGCACGTGTCTGTTCCAAATCATCCACTCCGGTGTGTCCTCGATCGAGCACACCCTGCACGTCCACGCCGGGCACGGCTTCGAGTGGCGATCATCGTCGTCGTCCGCGCCGGGGAGAACGAACGGGCCTCGGGCGCGCACGGGCACGGTCTTCGCGGACGCGCCGTTAGACCGCACATTTTCGTCGCCGCTGAGCGCTTTATTGGCTCTACGCGTCGTCGGCATGAGCACTGGCTCGGTTCAGAGGGACGTTATCGGTGACTCTGAGGTACAACGCGCGCGTCGGCGATGTTGACGCGCGCGTAGGGGAGTGAAGGACGAGTTTGGCCGGTTGAAGGTCTCAAGGGCTGACGCGACGCAACGCACGCTGCGGGTTGGTGGACAATCGAGCGCTCAGTATCGAAGCGTCAAGGCATGAGTACTTGTACAAGACATTGAGAAATACCATAATTGCGGGTCACTACGTAGGTTCGCGCGACGACCGAGGTGGTTTCACCACAAACGGGATTGTGCTCGATGTTCGTTTTCCCCTACCCGACGAACTCGAAACATGTCGCGCCATCAAAGTTTCGTATGTTTGTCATCCCGCCGTGTTTTTGGATGAAATCGGAGATGGCATCGAAGCGAAAGTGAAGGGTAAAGTGCAGAGCGGTGTTCCCGCGCTTGTTCTGTGCGTTGGGATCGGCGCCACTTCGGATGAGGAGTTTTACGCATCGTCCTTGACCGTTCTGGCTCGCGATGATGAGCGGTGTGTTCCCATGCTCGTCTCTTGCGTCCAGAGGAACGCCTTTGACGATCAGCTTTTTCATCTCGTCGTAACGCCCGTGACGGGCGTAGGAAAATATGTTTCGAATCTCTGAGACCTTGAAGGGTTGGTGCGGAACCATTCCTCGAGGAATTTTAGGCTTGAGGACCACGGCTGTGGCGGAATCCGAAACCGGTGAATCGGGCGCTGGGAACTCATTTGGCGGCAACAGTGCTAGACCACGATCACGCTTCTGAGCTCCAACCTCCGTCTTGGTCGGTCCCACGTCTGGTGCAGCTGGCGCTCGAGTAGCGCCGTGGTCCAATCCCAATCCTTGACTTGGTTTGGGCATTCCCACGCGTTTCCTCGGTTGCAAATCCCTAGCAGACATTACGTACGGATTCGGCTCTACGTGTACCGGCGCTGCTGGTATCGGCGCCGACTGAGGTTCCGGGGCGAAGACGTCAGCGTTCACTCGCGGAGTCTCCGGAAAAGTCGCGAGCGCCGGGGCTCTGTACGTCGCCTGTGGCATCCCGAAAGCGTCCTCGATCGTCCTCGTACGCTCGGACGGATTCTCCCTACCGACCAACGCTTTGACTGCGGCGCTCAATCCTCGAGGTGGTGCGAACGGGTCGCTCGAGCGCTCCTTCGCCGCGACAGTTCTTGTTGACATTGGCTCGTGAAATGCTCGAGGCACTTTTGTCGCTGTTGCGCTCACGATAGTCTCGTTCTTCTCCACTCGCTCTCTCGGTGCCGACGTCACACGGTTCTCCATTGGTCCAACTTTCGAAGACTGCAGACGCTGCACCATATCTTTGAGTGGATCGGAAGCCTGCGTGGACTTTGGTGCCTGCTCAATTGGCTTTGGCGCGAGCTGAGACATGGACATCATTGGCACCGGTTTAGGCGCGAGCGCCGCCATGGTGACGCTCGGTGTCTTCGTATGAATTGTCGCCTCTTCCGCCACCGCCGGTTCTCTCATCTCCTCGTCGAGCGCTTTCTCTGACTCATCTGTGCCGCCGCTCGTTTTCCTATGAAGCGTCGTCTTCAGTCGTTGAAACGCGTTGGCTCGGTTACCTTTGACCTCGCCACTCGTCCCCTCGATCGGCCTCGGTGTCCCCTCTGGCGAAGTCGTCCTGTGATCATCCGCGTCTTCGTACGTGTCCTGCTCCTCGACGCCCAATTGCGACCGCAACGCCTCCGGTCCCGCGCCCGCCTCCGCCTCCGCCGCGCGGCGCCGTTCCTCCTCCAAATGTCGCTCGATCGCCTCTCTCCGCATCACCTCCTCGTCTATTTCCTCACGCACCGCCGTCTTCGCCCGGACGATCTCCCGCTCCATCTCTCGCTCGAGCTCGTCGATCGCCGCGTCTCGCTCCGCCTCCGCCGCCTCCGCCTCCGCCTCCAGCGCGTCCGCCCGCGCGTCGCCCTGACGCCTCGCGCGCGCCACCGCCGCCCGTTTCACCGTGATTTTCATCTCATGCACCGCGCGCGTGCGTCGCAGCAACCGCTCGTACTCCGTTCGCACCGCGTCGATCGCCGCGTCGACGCTCGCGGCGTCCGCGGCCATCACTCCGAGCGTCCCCCCGCGGGGGTTTCGCGCACGCGCACCGCGCTCTCTCTCGCGCTCGCGCGCCGCGTCGGACCACGCGAAGCGCCCGCGCGCGCGATCGGTCGCGCGGCGCGCGCGTCCGGCGACGCGTCGACCGGTGGCGCGCGGGTCTGACGTGGGCACGAATTAATTAATGTAAAGCCCCGCCATCGCACGACGCGCGATGGACGACACCGCGGACGCGCGCCGCGCCCGGCTCGCCGCCCTGCGCGCGCGCGCCGAGACGACGCGCGCGGACGGAGCGACGGACGCGGACGGTGCGGGGGCGACGACGGGGACGACGGCGATCGCGTTTAGGAATTACGTCCCGCGAGACGGTGACCTGGCGAGTCTGAAAGTCACGGCGACGACCGCGCCCGCGCTCGCGGTGCCGTCCGGGGAAGGGCGGGAGACGGTGGCGTTGACGCTCGAGCCGAACGTGGGGGACGTCGACCCGTCGACGATCGCGCCGCGACGGGCGAATTGGGATTTGAAGCGGGACGTCGCGCGACGGCTGGAAAAGTTGGAGAAGCGGACGCGGCGGGCGCTGGTGGACATCGCGAGGGAGGAAGAGGGGCGACGACAGATCGAGGGGTGATGTTTTGTGTTCGCGCGGTCGTCTCGGGGACGTTTGGTGGGGATGTGCGGGTGAATTTGTTCGACGTCCGCGCGCTCCGGGTAACAACGCGCAGACGGACGCTCGGGACGCGGATGAAAATATTTTTAGAACGGCAAAGCGCGGAGGTTTCGATGTCGAGCGATGATGCTTCCGATGACGTCCGAGAGCGTTCGGATCCGAATTCGGCGCTCTTCGCGTTCGCGGATGACGAGTGCCTCGAGCTCGAGGGCGCAAACGAGGTGCGAGCGCGTGAGCGAGGTGTTCGTGGACCGTCAAGACTGACGACACATTCTACGAGGTCAGGCCCGATTGATGCGCATCGAGGAACTCGAGCGCGAGAGACGAGAGCACGTCAAGCGCGCGAATCTCATGCGAGAGCACTCGCGAGAGATGGAGATGGAGATGGAGGCGACGCGCGAGCGCGCGAGAGGCGCTCGCACGGCTTGGGAGAGCGAGTCGCACTTGATCTTGCTCGATCGCGCAAATCGCGAGCGGGCAAAGAGCGTCGTGGCACGATGCGAGGCGATCATGGCGACGCAGCATGAACGGCGGGATGAATATACGAGGCGCGCGGAGGCGTACGAGAGGGCGCTGTCGCGGTTGCAAGCGCGAGCGGGGAACGCAGACGCGCTTCGCGATCTCGTGCGTGAGCGACTTTTAGAGGACGAACGCGAGTTCGTTGCGCTGAGGACGTACGAAGTGGAAGATACCAGCTTACTCAAGAAGCTCGAATTCGAGCTTTGCAAGGTTTCGCGCGCCGTGTACGAGAGTAAGCTTGACATTGAGGATGCGACGTCTCTGCGTTTGGCTTCACAATGCGAGCTACAAAGGGTTAGAAAGTCACTGAAAGACGCGCACGCAAGACACGTAGATCTAAACGAAACGCTCGCTAGGGCGAACGTCACGCTCAGCGAGCGGAAACGTCTGAGTGAGAAGATGTTGAACACGAAAGAACAACTGTCTCGCGAGCTCGATGAGAAGCAAGCAAATGTTCGAGAGCTAAATCAAACCGCAAAACGCATCGAATTGTTGAATAAAGGATCGCAATCTAAAGTGACATCGAGGCAAAAAGTACTTCGCCATAAGACTGAAAAATGTCAAGAGTTAAAATCCGATCTCGTGAGCTCAACGCAGGCGCTCGTCACGGCAACACACATGCAAGCAGCCTCAGTGCGCGCTGCAGAGAGCGCCAAGGCTCGTCGATGTGATATGGAGGAGAAGTTGAGGGCACACGTCGAAGCTCGAGACGAAAAACAACGCCAAGTGAAGAAAGCACGTCAAGCTCTCGAGGATGAGCGCGCGTCTTTGATGACTTCGGAGGAGTGTCTGGAACGCCTGCAACGCGCGCACGACGAAGAGGCGTCGACGCTTGAGGGCGTCCTGAGCGCTCTCGAAGCTGACAAGGCGAGCCTGTTCAACGTTTCGAAAACATTACGCGATCAGAAACAATCGCAGTGTCGAGTAGAGATCGAGTTCAACGGGGCGATGCTGCAGAATAAAAACTTGCATGAGAAGGAGCAGGTGCTCCAAATGAACATCATGAAGCAGAAGGAGTTCGTCTACACCACTTTGTCGCAGTTGCAGCAGCTCGAACGCAAAACAGCGCGACTCGAAGGCGTGAGATCGAACGAAGAAAAGGAGCAACTAGAAGCCGTGATCGAATCGTTGAAGCGGGAGCTCGATGAAAGTCGCCGCGAGCACTCGTCGCTTGTTGCGGAGACCAAGGAGGGTAAGCAAAAGGCGGAATGCGCTCGAATGGACATGAACAATCTCTGTGCGGAAGCATCCGCCGCCGCTCAGGTGAGAGAGATCGACAAAATCAACGCAAATGGAAGCGAAAGACAAGAGCGGAGCGCCATCGATCGCATGGGGATATTACAAGTCCAGCTCGATGAGTTGCGCCTTCAAATCGCTCGTCGACATCGAGTGCTCTTCTTGAGCTCTGGCCAAATGCGAGAAATCGTCGAACGTAAGACGGAAATGATGGCTGCATCAAAAACGCAACACATATCGCTCAGCGAAGACCGCAGATCGCTCCTCGCTCGAGTGACCATCCTTCGCCAAGACGTGCACGCGGCAGTTATGGATATGAGGCGTCGCGAGCAACGCTTGGAGCATCTTCGCAATCGTTACAACGTCGTGCGAGCGAAATCACCGCACGGCGATATCATCGAGATTGAAGACCAAGAGGATTGTGTCATCATCATCGAAAGACAGCGCGACCATCTGGCGATAGAGCGAGCAGAGCTGAGTGAGCTCATTGATCGGGCGGAGAGCGAAGTCGCGTCGATGCAAAAGATTCTTCAAGACGCCGAAAGATCAAACTCAGATCTTCGCGCGTCATTGACGCACGCGCACGATGAGAGCGAGGCGTCGAGAGGTGAGTGGAAGAAGACTGAGGCGTTGCTGGCAAAGCTACAGGTTGTAAACGATGGCTTGGCGCGTCTCAGAGAGCGCGAGGAGCATCTCACGGATGCTCTGTCTCATCTCAAGGAGACGCTCAAGGTCGCCGTGGACGAACACAACGCGCTGTCGAGCGACATTCAGGAGGCGCAGTGTGCTTATGACGCGGCGATGCGCAAGTACAAATCGCAAAAGTCAAAGCTTCGTCGTGCGCGATCGAATGCCGAGAGCGCCGTCGCCGCGCACCGCGCCGCCCGCGGTTTCATCCCTGGTGATCCAGCCACGGTGATCGAGCTCCGCATTCGAGCGCACCGACTCAGCGAGACGATTCGAAAGGCTTCGGAGATCGTGAACTCGTCGTCGACGCTCAAGACGGTGGTTTGTGACTTGGATGCCGAATCGTCGCTCGCGCTCAGCCCGACGAGTTCGCTCACATCCTTCTTCACTCTCGCCTCTTCGGCGACGCGCTCGACAGCGCCGAGCTCCATCGCGAGCGACTCTTTGGACTCAATCCTATCTCTGAGGATCAGCGCTTGTTCATCGTAGTCAACGCACGTTCGTTCTTCCAGCGCCTCCGACATTGCCTCGCGTGTAACAGAAATCATTTCATCGGCCCAGACGTGCGTTACGATTTTCGCTCGCTCGAGACCGCACACACGCGCGCATCGAGCGCACAAGGCTGCGCGCGCGCGAAATCACTCACCATGGCGCAAATGGTACGATGCGACGCGCGCACGCGCGTTCATCGCGCGTCGTCCGCGCGTCGCTCGCGCACGGATGGGCTACGACGACGAACTCGCGCGCTCGAGCGTTTTTTCCACGCTCGAGGCATCGCGACGTTCGCACCGTGACACTGACCGCGAATGGTCGACGACGCGCAGGAAGCGATCATGAAAAAACGCCAAGACGCCATCTGTGCCGCGTACGAGGCGCAGTGGAACGCGGGCAAGGGTTCACACCACCCCGACTATCGACCCGACGCCTACGGCGAAAACGTGGCCAAGGCGTCGCGCGAGACGGAGGAGCTCCTCATGGCGATTCACAAGAACGACGTCAAGCTCATATATAACAAGATCGAGGAAGGAGCGGACGTGAACTTTGTCTTCGGTCCGGCGTACGGGTGCGAGGAGGGATACACCGCGCTCATGAGCGCCTGCCACCGCGGACGTCTCGAAGCCGCAAAGGCGTTGCTGCGCTCGGGCGCCGATCCCAACTTCGTCAACTACCACGGCGACGCCACAATCTTCTGGGCCATCGACGGCGGTCCAGAGCTCATCAAACTCCTCCACGATTACGGCGCCGATCTCGACCTCCGGACGCCCAAGGACGCCACGCCTCTGTCCTACGCCCGGGCCATGGGAAAGTACGGCTTGGTCGACGAAAAAGGCGTCTACCCCGAAGACGTCTTAAAGTTCTACGGCGCCTCCGTCTACGGCACCGAACCGCCGACGCAGGGCGTTCGATCGCCCAGGGAATCCTTCGACGTCTCCGCGCGCGATTTCTCCCGCGATCGCGGGTCGTACCAACGCGAACCCGAGCACCCGTAGGCGCGCGCGCCGAGCCAATCACATCACCGCAATCGCGCACGCGTCTCCGGCCCGCCGACGCGCGATCGAGCGTCGCCCGTACGTATTCGAGCTCGGAATTGCCCATCACGTCGCGTCGCGTATCTTTGTCTTAGATCTCGACACACGACGCGTACTGCGCACGCGTAATGCTCTATCACAAATAGCATAAACACCACGGACGCGAGCGATCGGACGTCTGGACGCGACCGATCGGACCTCTGGACGCGAGCGATCGACCCTCGGGCGGACGCGCGCGCGCGCGGTGAGACGTCGACGCGGCCGCGGGCGCGCGCGCGAGCGTTTCGACCGCGCGCGCGGTGGGGGGACGGCGATGAGCCCGGGGCTCGGGCGCGGGCGCGATGGGGAGGATGCGCTCATGGGTGATTTGTTGAGCGACGCCTTGATCGGGGCGAGCGACGGTTCGCGGCGCGCGCGCGTGAACGGCGAGCGAGACGGGCGGTCGCGGAGTTTCGTCGCGAGCGTAGACCGAATGGCGGGGACGTTCGAGCTCGGGGTCGATCGACAGGAGGGGACGCGCGCGGAGCGATCGCGCGCGGGCGGATCGGACGGCGGCGGGGCGAAGCGAAAGCGCACGGAGAGCGCGCAGTTCCCAGGGCGCGTCGTGCGACGCGTGATGGAGGATGGAGACGATGATAGAGCGGCGCCGGGGGGTTGGGGCGAGTTGTGCGACAGAGAGTTTGAGTGTAAGAAGACGGCGAGGGTGGGCGTCGTGGAGTGGTACAGCAAGACGAGCGCGTCGAGCGCGCGATTGATCGTTGATAAATGGCGAGAGAGCAAGGTGCGATACGTGTTGCGGTGTCAGCGCGCGATGCCGAAGAGGCAAGAGAAGGGTAACAAGGAAGTGTGTAAGAGCATCAGCGGGCGGTGCGCCATGTGCGTGAACATCGTGCTCAATAAGGATGCGCAAGTCTGGCGGGTGAGTCGCTCCGAGAGCGTGCCGTGTCACGACCCCTCGTGCGAGGATTCCACGCGGCCGAACGTGAGTTCCGCCCAGTTTGCCGCCGCTCTCGTCGGAATCGAACACGTCCCGGCGGAGAGAAAACACGAATTCATCACCAGAGTGTTGAAGGAGACCGGGTACAAGATCTCCTCAGGGACCAAGCAGCGCGCCATCGCGCTCGCGGAAGATAACGCCAGGAAGGCCACCCACGGACCCCTCCGCTGATTCAACTGAACTTCATCCACGAACTACCTTCATCTCGAGAGTAGCTTAGCCATCGCCTCATCACGAGACGAGTGTATTCACAACCCTGAACGAATCGAATCCCGCGCCGAGCTGCTCAGTTCCTCACATCCTCGCGCGTCGTACGAAATGTCCTCTGACGACGATGCCGACGAGGCTCAATTCGTCTCATTCGTTCGTGAGCACATCAGCTCCAGGCTCACGGCGCGCGCGTCGTCGTCGACGAAGGAAAAAGATGATTCGCGTCGACGGACCTCTAACGGTCCTGACGATTTCATAGACGAAGCTTCGTCGATTCCGTCGACGCCGCGGCGTGTTGAGGCCGAGGCGGTGATGCACGCGGCACGAGAAAGCGCTCGGAAGGCGCGAGAGCAATCGCGGGCGTCAGCGAGCAAGCAGCGCGCGGATGAGAGCGCGCACCGTAGAAACGCGAGCGCGGTAAAGTTGGCGCTCGCCGTGCGGAGAACGAACGGGAGCGAAGACGGTGGCGTCGAGCGACAATTGGACATGGAGAGCGACAGAGGTATGCAGAGTGAGGACGATTTGCGAACGCCCGTAAGGGTGGGATCATTTCGATCACGCAAGGTTGTTCACGAGGGGTTCGCGCGCGAAGCGAGCGGGCGAAGAGCGTCTCTGACGCCGCCGCGCGGGCAGTTGATGTCGGTCGTTTCTCCGGTTCACGAACGTAGTTTGGTGGGAAAGACGGTCACGGATGCGTCAACGAGCGAAATGGAGGTGGAGACGACGACGACGACGACGACGACGATGATGGCGATGACGACCGGCGAGAGGCAACTCGGGCACCTTTCTCGCGGGGGTACGAAACAAGACTTGATGAACGTCCGAGCGGTTGAGACGGAGATCGAGCGACTCCGAGCTAAGGTGGCAGCGTTGACCCGTGAACTTGACATAATCAGTGTGGAGAAGCAAACATGGCAGAACGAGCGCGTGCGGATGTCCGCGCTGATGACGGCTGCTGAGGAGGATTTGAAGACAACGGAGTCGCGCATGTCCAAGACGGAGTCTCGATTGGCGGCGGCGATGAACGAGCGAGAAAATGCGCTGATAGAGGCCGACCGCTTGCGTGAGTCGCTCGAGCGGACGCGAAGGGAGTTTGAGGAGATGAACGAGCGGTCGTTGGGCGAGCACACGTCGACGATCAGTCGCATGGAGCTCTCGATACGGGAGTATCAGCTGAAAATCGAGCGTCTCGAGACATCGCTGGTGGAGACAGAGACAAAGATTCGTACAGACGAGGTGGCGATGAAAAAAGTCGAGGAAGAACTGGCGACTACCAAGTTAGATTTGCACTCGGCACAATCGCACGTGGCGAGCCTTAAAGACGTAGAAGGGATAATGGGGACCGAAGCCGAACGAATAAGGAGTGAGATTGTGCAGCTCAACCAGGCGCTCAAGGAGCGCGATACGAAGTTTGCCGAAGCGACAGATCGGTTCAAAAAGTTAGAGACTGAAAACGAGGGACTCATGGAGGACATCGCGAGGTTGAACGAAACGATTGCGCTGACGAATAGTACCATGCGTCAAAAGGATGAGGCCATTGACAGCGCGCACGCTGACGCAGAGTGCGCGAGGGCTGAACGGAGCGAAGCCTTGGATGAACTCAGGAAGCTGCATTCGACGTTGACGGCGAAAGATGCCGACTTGGAGAGCGAAAAGCGAGCGAAGGAGGAGTTAACGGCGACACTCGAGGAGACTCGAGCGGCTTTGACCTCAAAGACGGCGGAGAAACGAGCATTCGAGATGGAAATGGCTGACCTCAAGGTCGAAATTTCAACGCTCCGCACCAGACTTGAGAAGGAGGCGAAGAGGGCCATGACGAGCGAAGAGAGAATTGAGTCGGCCAAGGAAGCGTTCGCGGCGCGTCTCGCCGCCGCATCAGAGAAACAGGCATCGTTCCAAGGCAGGCTTCTCGAAATGAAATCATCCGTCGAGTCTGAGAAGAAGAAAATTGAGGAAGAGGCGCGGATAGAAATCGAGTCGCTCACTGCTGAGCTAAAAGATTTGCAACGCCAGTTAGCAGAAAAGGATGGGGCGTACAAGAGTGCATCGAAAAATTCGGCGCACTTTGAGAAAAAGCTCGAGATCACCGCGGAGCAACTCAGCCAGGCGAAGTCCGACCTGATGCAGCTCAAGGCGAAGGTGAACGAGGGCGATCTTCGAAGAGTCGAGCTCGAGCACTCTAAGGAAGAACTTCGGGAGTCGCTGGAAAAGATCAAACTCATGGAAACGGAGCGCTCAGAACTTTTGTTGCATCTGAAGAGCGCGAGAAAGGACGTTTCGATGCTTCAGGGCAAAGTTGCCGGCTTGGAAACCGCCGCTGATTTGGCGGCGGCGGACCGGGATACGTTACTTGAGAGGTTGCATGCCGTGGAGCAAGAGGTGGAGTCGATGACTGAAGAGAACGAGCTCACATCGTCCATGGCGGCGCAGGCAAACATGACCGCGAACGCCAAGGTGTCGAAGCTGGAAAAGCAACTCGCCGCATTGAACAAGGAGATTGATATTTTACGCGATCAGCACGACACCAATGCCGAGGAGATCAAGCGCCGAGAGAACACCTCGAACGAGGCATTCATCGAGCTACAGAAGAAAATGGAAGTTGCTGACCGTCGCGTCAAGGAACTCACGAGCGAAGTCAACGAATGCAAGAAGAATTCCGAGATGGACAAGAGGAAGTTGCAGGAGAGCGAACGACGCGTTCAGGATGAGACAAACTCCCGTGAAGCCTTGGAGCTCGAGCTTGAGGATTTGCGACAGAAGTATCAGTCTGCTGAGTCTCGAGTGTACGAATTGAACACCGAAATTCTCTTGGTGAACAAAGAGCTCGAGAGGGAGAAGATCAACTCGACAAGGCACGCCAAGACGGATGCGGGAGGCATGAAGGGAATGAAGTCGTCTCGCGACGAGGCACTCACCAAGGTGAACCACTTGACCGCAGATTTAGCGAAAGTCACCGCAGAAAGAGATCTTCTGCAGCAATCCATAACGAGTATGGATAAGCGACTGGATTTCGAGCGTCAGGCTTTCGCCACGCAGGTCAAAGAAGCTGTGAAAGATGCGACAAAATCAAAGGAAAATGAGAATGTCGTCTTGCGCAGAGAATTGGATGCCGTTCGCCAAATGACTGCAACCGGGACAACGCGAGCGCTGCGCTGACGAAAGCTCTGGACGATAAGAACCACGAATTAGCGCTCGCGCGAGAATCCGTGTCTGAGCTCAAAGCGAACGTCACGAGGTTGACGCACCAGCTTGAGCACGCGAACGAATTGCTCGCGACTGCGCAACGAGAGGCATCCATGTCGCAACAAGATGAACAGGATGAGCTCAGAATAGCACGTAAAGAACGCGACGAATCCAAGCGCGCGCTCGAAGAGGTCGAGGCTCGGCTCGCGTCTGCGCTCGCCGAGAAAGAGTGGTTCGAAAAACACAACGAGGCCACAGAGGCTGAATTGAAGGCATCCAAGGCGGCAGCTGCTGCGGCCACGAAAATGAGCGAGCAAGCGCGCACGCAGCTGGCCCGGTACAAACACCTCAGCCCTAAGGCACTGCTATCGCCGACAAAGCACAGAGGTTTCGGTTCGCCGATGATCAGCGGTCAGTTGGCGTCGCCACTGAAGTGGTTTTCACGACAGACGGAGAGGACTCCTGAGGTGCGCACGCCGCCGAATAATTTATTCAACAAATTTTCCATGGCGACGCCAACAGTGCCGACGAGAACGCCGGGAGGATCCTGGCGTGTGCCATCTCGCCCCGAAAGTCTGGGCGAGGCGCTTCAAACGCTGATGTTCATCGGCGCGTTCATCTTCATACTCTTAGTGTTTTTGGCGGTCACTCCAATGATCGCTCAGCGCGAAGCGCTCAGACGCTCTTCGATCACGCCGCCGAGATATTCGCACGGGTGCGGAATCATGTTCCGCGTGAACGATGCTGTGCTTGAATTCGCGCACGGCTTGCTGGGAATGTCATATCGGTCGATGTGCGCCCAACAGCCCCCGAGTTAGTTTCCTTCCAATGTTACAAGTCTATTAGTCTATGAGGTATAGATCGCGCTCAAGCTCCATCTTGTAGCATAACCACACCAAAAACTTAAACGGAATCTCCGCACCATTCTTCTTGAACACGTAGCACTTTCTTGGCACAATTATCTGTACGTATCGTTCCTCCAACATTTCCCGCACAAACGCGCCGTGCACCACTCCCAGCGGTAACAACAAGCAAAACGGTAGCTCCGCGTCCACGAGCGACTTTAAAACTTTCTGCTTCATTCCCTTCCCCGTGTATGGCGGATTATCGACCACCGCGTCGAGCGACCGCACGAACGGCCCGTCCCGCACTTTATCGAAAAAATCCCACCGCTTGTGCACCACGCGCTCGAACCCAGCCTCTCGCATGCGCTTCCCCGCCAGCTCGTCGTACACGAACGGCGCCCACACCTTCTTCGTCCTGAACCCGTTCGCGGTCGCACCCAGAACCGTGAATAGACTCCGCCACGTCCGCGTAGCCGTCGCCCATTCGTCGTCCTCGATGGACATCCCACCGCTCATCGACCCGTACGACCCGTACGCCCCCTCTCGACGGACAACCGCGATATGGCTCGCGTCCATGACGTCTTCATCGTTCTCTGAATCGCCCGCGTGCGTTGTCGACGTCTCTCTCGCGCGTTTCTCTTCCGAAGCCCGAGGCGGCGCCACGCGCTCTCTCGCACGTTTTCGTCGCGCCCGGTTCTTCATCGCCGCCTTGGACGTCGTCGGACGATCCGTGGTGTCGATGTCGTCATCGGATGACATGTCGACCGTCGCGTAGTGTCGCGCGGCGGCGATTCGTTGACTTGAAAGGAAGAGTGAATTCTCGGAAGCGCCACAAATTCGTGCACGGCGCGCGCGTTGATGCTCCGAGCGCTCGCTCGACGGGTTGCGTCGGCGACAAAGACCAATACACGGGTGTGCGCGTCGACGAACGGGGTTAAGGTCACGGTGAACGACGCGAAAGCGACGATGATTCGCTCGTTGCAAATTCAATCGCACGTCCCAACTCGCGTCGTCGTCGGTGTCCCCGGACGTCCTGATCGACGCTTGACGGTAAATAGAGCGCGAACAGAGCGTTATGATCGTGCGCGCACGTCTTTGGCGGCGACATCGTCGGAAGACGCACGAGAGATTCCGTCGAGCACGCGAGCGCCGGATTCGCTGACAGTGGACGAGGCGAGACGCGAGCTTGAGCGCTTGAACGAGGAATTGGCGCATCACGATCGATCGTATTACAACGACGGCGAGGGTGTGATCTCGGACTCGGAGTACGACAGTTTGCGAGCGCGGTACTTGGCGATCGAGCGGTTGCATCCGTCGGCGGCGCGAGCGCTCGGCGCGAGTGCGCGCGTCGGAGCGACGCCGGACGATCAGAGCGGGTTGGAAAAAATAGCGCACGCAACGCCGATGCGGTCGCTAGGGAACGCGTTTGACATCGCACAGGTAGAAGCATTCGTGAATCGCGTGGAGAAGGCGCACGGGGAGATTGGGGTGGAGTTATGTGCTGAGCCAAAGGTTGATGGTGCGAGCGCGAGCTTGAGATACGAAAACGGCGTTCTCGCGTACGCCGCGTCAAGAGGGGACGGAGAGATGGGCGAGGATGTGACGAGACATTTAGTCAGCGCGCGTGGCGTCCCTACGCGATTGAAAGCGCCTTATCCGGCGGTTTTGGAGATTCGCGGCGAGGTGCACGTAGCCGAGGAAGATTTCCGACGAGTCAATGCGGAACGCGCTGCCACGGGAGTTCGCGTGTTCAAAAACGCACGCAACGCCGCCGCGGGGGCGATGCGATTGCTCAATGCCGAAGATAATCAAATGCCTCTCAGATTTTTAGCCTACGGCTGGGGAGCGGCGGGCGAGACGGATGCGGACGCGAACGCACCGTGGGTCACGCAGAGTGAATTCTTGAGCTCTTTCCTACCGTCGCAAGGTTTCGACGCCGTCCCGGTGTTAGGCGTGACGTCCACGGTCGAGGGACTCATGGAAACGTATGAAGCGCTCGAGATCGCGCGTCCAAGCATGCCGTACGAAATCGACGGCGTCGTGTACAAGGTGAACTCGGTGGCGCTTCAGCAAACGCTCGGCGCCGACGCAAGGCAACCCCGATGGGCGATCGCGCACAAATTCACCGCCATGAGCGCCGTGACGACGCTGCGCGCCATAGAGATTCAGGTCGGGCGCACGGGCGCGCTGACTCCCGTCGGGTTGCTCGATCCCGTCGACATCGGCGGGGCGTGCATCCAGCGAGCAACATTGCACAATTTTGATGAAATTGGTCGCAAGAGACTCAAAGTTGGCGCGCAAGTCATGGTCGAGCGCGCGGGTGATGTCATCCCGAGAGTCGTCTCGCTCGCGGGCGAAGACTTAGCCGAAGCCGCCGCGTACCCCGAGGACGCGCTTCCGCTCCCGGAGTGGCTTCCACCGTCCAAGTGTCCTGATTGCGGCGCGTCCGTCGTGCGAGCGCCACTCTCCGCTTCGAAGAACGCGATGGGAACCATCGTGCGCTGTACCGGTGGCCTGAAGTGTCCTTCACAGTCAATGGAACGCTTGCTGCACTTCTGCTCGAGAGATGCTCTGGATATTCGCGGATTAGCTCGCGCGACGCTCGAGACGCTCCACAGAGAAGGCGTCGTGAAGACGCCCGCCGACATTTTTACCCTGGAACGACGATTTGGCCCAGATAGTGGTGAGACCGTGCCGACGTGGTGGCGATACACCGGTGTGAAGAACTCCAAGGGTGAAGTCAAGGAGGGATCTGACGGATTAAAGGCGAGCGCGGTCAAATTGTTTCAGGCGATTGAGCTTCGCCGACGAGGTGTACCCTTGCATAGATTCATCTACGCCCTGGGGATCCCCAACATTGGTGCGCATACGGCTAAAGTCTTAGCGACGCACTACGTAAGCCTGGATGCGTTTAGGAAGGCCTCTATGGCCGCGGCGAAGGGCGGTTCGACGAGCTTGGCGTACGGCGCGTTGACGCACATTGACGGCGTCGGACCAGTCTTGGCGCAGTCATTGGTCGACTTTTGGGGCGAGCCTGCGAACGCCTCGATCGTGAGCGAAATAATTGCCAACGGAGTCGTTGTTCTCGACGCCGCCGAGAGCTCGAAACCATCATCGACGCGTCAGCCACCGGCTGCACCGTTGTCGTCGGCTACATCCGCTGCATCCACCAAGCCCGCCGAGTACTCCGCACCGGGCGCCAACCTCACCGGCGCCAAGATCTTATTCACCGGCACCGTCGACGGCTATCCCCGAGAAACCGTCCATCGCCTGATAGAATCCGCCTCTGCTGAGGTCGTCTCCTCCCTGTCCTCAAAGACGACGTGCGTCCTCGCCGGAAGCGGCGCCGGACCCGCGAAGCTCGCCAAGGCTTCCGCCCTCGGCGTCCCTATCATCGACGCCGCGGATTTCATCCTCGCCCTCGATCGAGGCGAACCTGTTTCGATCCCTCCTCGCCAAGATTAGCCCTTGTCATCGCCCACGCGCGCCGTTTCCGACGATATTTCGCCTCGCCCGCCCTACGCCCCCGCTCGGCGCTCGCATCATGAGGGTGCGAAAGATGACGTGTCTGCATCACGGTGCCGGCGTCACAAAACGCCGCGATGCGTCGCCGCGTCGCCGACGTCCTGACGCGCACGGTCGCGGCGTCATGCTCGCCGCTCCCATCGTCGCGAACGTCCATCAGAGAGCTCGCGCACGGCGCGCGTCGCGTGACGACGCGTGAGAATCTGAAGAATTTCCAACGAAACCGTGAAATCGTCACCCGAGCGCTCCGCGCACCGCGATTCACGCACTTCAGGACGTTCGCGAACGCGAGCGGAAAGGGTGGAACCCAGGGCAAGTTCACGTCGATGCGCCCGCGGGCGAAGAAGGATGCGGGCGGATCGAACGGGAAGAAAGGGAGCGAGGGTCAAGGAGAAAATAGCGGAACCGAGGCGCCGAAAACCTTGGGGGAGCTCATGCGCGGACCAGGGGGGCAGCAGATCGCGAGTTTAATGCTCCTAGCGCTTGGGATGAGTTTACTGAGCTCGATGCGGCAGGACGCGCGGGAGATTTCGTTTCAGGAGTTTAAGACAAAACTCTTGGAGCCCGGTTTGGTGGAGCGGATCGAGGTGTCGAATAAGAGCCAAGCCAAGGTGTATATCAAGGCACCGGGGGCGATGATCAAGAGTCGACACGGTGCCGGGGAGTCGTACGACTCGAGCGAAATCGGGGCCCCACCCGGGGCGAAGACGCAAGGTGGGTACAAGTTTTATTTCAACATTGGAAGCCTGGACTCTTTCGAACGCAAACTGGAGGAGGCACAAGAGTTGATTGGGCTCGAATCGAAGGATTTCGTTTCGGTGACTTACGTGAACGAAATATTCTGGCAGACGGAGCTCATGCGATTGCTTCCGACTCTTCTCTTGATCGGGGGATGGTTGTATTTCACCCGACGAAGTGCCGGGATGGGGGGCATGGGCATGGGCGGAGGCGGCGGGCCGGGAGGTATTTTCAACGTCGGCAAGGCCACGGTGAGCACGCTGGATAAGAACGCGAAGAACAAGATCATGTTCAAAGACGTTGCCGGGTGCAACGAGGCCAAGCGAGAGATCATGGAGTTCGTGGACTTTTTGAAGAATCCAAAAAAATACGAAGCCCTGGGGGCAAAGATTCCGCATGGCGCCCTCCTCGTCGGGCCGCCCGGGACGGGTAAGACACTTCTCGCGAAGGCCACGGCTGGGGAAGCGGGCGTGCCTTTCTTGTCAATCTCCGGCTCTGATTTCATGGAGATGTTCGTCGGCGTTGGTCCCTCTCGCGTGCGAGACTTGTTTGCGCAGGCACGCGCACAGAAACCGTCCATCATCTTCATCGACGAAATCGATGCAATCGGTCGCCAGCGTGGACGGGGTGGTTTTGCCGGGGGTAACGACGAGCGTGAGAACACGTTGAATCAGCTTCTCGTTGAGATGGATGGGTTCGGCACCAAGGAAGGCGTCATCGTATTGGCGGGCACAAACCGACCGGATATTCTGGACAAGGCGCTCCTGCGTCCGGGACGCTTCGATCGTCAAATCTCCGTCGACCGACCCGATATCACGGGGCGCGAGCAAATTTTCCGCGTGCATCTCGCGTCGATTGCCCTCGACGGACCTGTGGATCACTACAGCGAGCGTCTCGCCGCGTTGACACCTGGTTTTGCTGGAGCGGACATCGCCAACATGTGTAACGAGGCCGCACTCGCGGCTGCACGTGAAAACGTCAACTCGGTGTCACTTAAGCACTTCGAGTACGCCGCTGATCGCGTCATCGCCGGTTTGGAAAAGAAATCAAAAGTGGTGAACAAGACAGAGCGCCGAACTGTGGCGTACCACGAAGCCGGTCACGCCGTTGTTGGATGGTTTTTGGAGCATGCCGAGCCGTTGCTCAAGGTCTCCATCGTCCCTCGTGGCTCCGCCGCGCTTGGCTTTGCGCAGTACCTGCCGAACGAAAACCTCCTCGCCACCACGCAGCAGCTTGTGGACATGATGTGCATGACGCTTGGCGGCCGCGCCGCGGAGCAAGTTATGCTCGGCAAAATCTCCACGGGGGCACAAAATGATCTCGAAAAGGTGACACAAATGGCGTACAACACTGTCGCAGTGTATGGCATGAATGAAAAGATCGGCCTCTTGTCGTTCCCGAAGGATGAACAAAGCCTCAAGTCGCCCTACTCGGAGGACACGGCTCGAATGATCGACGAAGAGGTTCGCCTGCTCGTAGACAAGGCGTACCAACGCACCGTGGCGCTAGTCGAGGAGAAAAAGCACTTAGTGGAAGCGATGGCGCGCGGGTTGCTCGACAAAGAGGTGTTGCAGCGACACGATCTCGTCCAACTTCTCGGCGAGCGCCCGTTCGTATCGGAGAACCCGCAAAACATCGACATCCTCAACGAAGGCTTCAAATTCCACTACCCCAAGGATGCCGAGGAACCGGACGCCGAGGAACCGGATGCTGAGGAACCGGAGGATTCCGCGGGCGAACCCAGTCCCGCGTTCCCGCTCGCGACATGAGAAACGAACAAATTACTTTCGAGAACTCTTCGTTAAACTGTTGTGTATTTTAGTTTACGTGTACTACGAACCCTCCGTCCCCGCCTCCTCGTCCCTGGGTCTCGGCGCAACCACGTTCACGAGCCACCCGAATAACCCCCTCACCGGCTCTTTCTCTCCTCTCTCCTCTCGCTCCTCTCGCTCCCGCTCCGCCGCCGCCAACTGCCTCGCGCGTCGTCTTCGTTTCGCGCTCGTCTCCGCCGCCACCTCGTCTTCCGCGTCGCCGTTCGATCGACCAGAGACGACTAACTCATCGAACCCCGTTCGTTCGTCGTGTTCTCTCGTGAACGTCACCTCGTGATCGCTTCCGAGGACGATTTCGCACGTCGTGAACACGACGCACCCGTCCAGGACGTGCCCGCCGATCACCTCGCCTCTCTTATCCCCGAGCGCGCAGTGCAAGTGACAGGACGCACCCGCGGCTGAGATCGTACCCACTAAGCTCACGATCTCGAACCGCTCGTCCGGGGCGTCGTAGACGTCGTTCGAGGAGCCGCGGAGGAGCGCGGAGTAGTTGGCCAGACGCACGCGCGCGCTCGAGAGCGAACCGACGGCGGTCACGATCCACGCGCTGGTGAGGCGAGCGTCGCGGACGTACTTTATGATTGATTCCTTGAGGTCGTCGCCGGGGACGAGCCGGATGGCGTGCGTCGCGTGTGGCATCGCGTCGGAGGAGTCGCCGTGTGAGGCATCGGTGGGAACGGCGTCTCCGCTACGACTACGTCTAATGATTTCTCTACCTAACGTCTAAACGGCACTCGATCGGGATCTGTGACACGTCATTTTCCATGATGGCCCTGGAGAGCCAATCACCGATGAGGGCGTGGTACACGAGACCGCGGGCGCCGAGACCGGCGGCGACCCAGACACGGCGGTCGCCGAGAGTGACGGCGCCGACGAGCGGGAGCGCCCCCTCGGGTGTGCGCGGTGGATTGGCACGAACGCCGTACTTTAAGTTTAAGAGCTCCCAGCTCGAAGTCGGTGGGTACGCTCTGGACGCGAGCTCGCGGAGCTCGCGCTCGGCGCGCGTCGCCCGCGCGTCCGCGTCTCGCTGAATCACGCCGGCGCGGTCGAAGAAGTCATCCACGGTCGCGTCGTATTCCTTCGTCGGCCCGACCATCGCGCGTGTTTCACCGAGCGGCGCGACGTACGTCGTCCCGAGCACGCCCACGCGTAAGCTATCGTCCGGTTTGAGCTCCAACACGTGTCCGCCCTGAAGCTGCACCGGTATCACGCTCTGATCGAAGAGTTTCGCGATGCCCGCGCCGCAGCACAGGACGACTTCATCGAACTCGTCGAATAACTCGGTCACATCCGTAATAGAGCGCACGCGCAGAGACGCACGCGTGCCCGCGGGGCCTCGAGACGCCAACAGCTCGCACGCGTCCCAGAGCGCCGCGAGGTACCTCGGCGCGTCCACGACGACACCTTTCGGGATGAATAACCCTCCGGCACACGGCGGCTCCCCGCGAGACTCCGCATCGATCACATCGTCGGTGAACTCCAACCCAGGAGCTAAATATTTCGCCTCTTCCGTCGTCACGCACGCGCTCGCGAAATCCGCCGCGTCTCGCTCGGATCGATACCTCACGAAATCCATCCCTTGCTTCGCCGTCCGCGCCGGTCGCACGATACCCGGCTCCCGCGACACCGGTTCACCCCGTCGCTCGCCCGTCGCTCGTCCAACGTCTTCCCGCCACCCGCCGTCGCAATCGTCGCTCCGCTCGCGCCATCCCCCATCCGCCGCCGTCTCGCTCGCGCTCGCCGCGACGCGCATCAACCGCCGCGCCCCAGCCGCGCCCTCCACCCCCCGCCACACCACCCGTCCGCGCGCCGTGTACGGATGTACCAGCCCCGCGGCGACGCCCGAGGCCCCACCAGCGATGCCCACGCGATCGATCACCGTCACCGCCACCGCTTCCCGCGCCCGCTCCAGCGCGTGATACGCCACGGACGTCCCCGCGAACCCCCCACCGACGATGGCGATCTTTCGCGCGGCCGTTTTCTCGCCCGTCGCCCGCGTCCGGGCGTCGCGCGATCGACGGCGACGCACAGACGATCGACGCGACGTCGCCCGACGTTGGTTTTCGCCATCGTTCACGCCCGCGCGCGCCACGCGCGACGCCCGCGTCGGCGTCGGCATCGCGCGCGCGGACGCGTGGAATTTTCGTCGATATACCTCCCCCGCGCGCGCCCGCGGGCGACGGGGAGTGCGGCGCCGAGACGGCGACGACGCCGACAACGCGATGCCGCACTCGCGCGCGCGAATCCATTCCGTCGCCGACGCGACGCCCGCGCGCGAGGGCGATGCGCGCGACGTCGTCCGCGACGGCGTCCCCGTCGACGTCCGCGGCGTCGCCGATGCCGTCGTGGACGACGTCGAGCGCGAGGGCGCGGGAGGTGATGTCGCGCGACCGGGGCGGCGGCGTCGTCGCGCGAGCGTCGCGCGCGCGGGGCGCCCGGCGCGGACGCGCGCGCGGGGGGGGGGTACATCTCTCCGACGACGTCGTCGTGACGCTGATCGTGCGACGACGGTTACGGGAGGGAGAGGCGGAGGTGCGGGCGAGCGGGTCGAGCGACGCGCTGGGCGCGTGGGACGGCGCGCGCGGGACGGCGATGAAACAGCGCGGTGACGTCCACGCGTGCGCGGTGCGATTGCGCGTGGGGGAGACGCATTCGTTTAAATTCGTCACCGTGGACGCGCGTGGGGAGATCGTGATGTGGACGCCGGGAGAGGCGATGACGCTGGAGACGCCGAGGCGGTGCGCGAGCGCGGAGGTGTGGTGCGAATGGCCGAGCGATGACGCGCGGATGACGATCAAGGCGTCGATCACGTTGGAGATGAGCGCGAGTGATAATAGGGTGGAGACCGGAGGGGCGTGGTTGGCGTACGGGAGCGGGGATGTTGAGCACGCGAACGTCGGCGAGGACGACGCCGACGGCGAGGACGGAGGGCAAACGTCCGTCGCGGTGTCGTCTGATGAGGATGAGGACGAGGAGGATGACGATGACGGCGTCGCCGCGATGGGTACCGTGACGATTGACGAGGACGAGATCAACGTGGACGATTTCGACGACGTTGGGATGACCATCGAGAAGCGCGCGAATTTCTCGAGCGACGAGTCCATGGACGAGGGCGAGTACGCGTACAGGCCGCAAGATCACGTGGACGAGATGCTGGAGGCGTCAAATGGATTACACACCGAGCTCGTATTCAATGCCGCGAACGAGGAGGATTTCGGCGTGCGAATCGCGATATTGGAGGAGGGCGAGCTCGTCGAGCTCTGGCACGAGCACGGCACCGAACCGGGGAAGGGCATGCGCGTGGGCGATATTTATCTCGGCACGGTGAGCAAGGTGATCAGCGGGATGCAAGGGGTGCTCGTGGACCTCACGGGTAAGGGGCCGCCGTACGCACTCATGCAAAAGGGGATTGAGAAGCCTGCCCTGGCTTGGCGTCTCAAGGGGAGCGCGTCCGCGGCGTCTGACGAGACCTCGCGACAGGCAGACAACAGGAACGAAGCGCGGAACGGCGGGTGGTGGGAAGGAAACAAGTGGAAGTCCGACGAGGACGCGACACAAACTGAGGTCGCACCGGGGTCAGCGAACGAGCCGCTTCGAAGTTACACGCGTCGACTGGCCGCGAAGGGCGCGGCGGGCGGATCCGCGTGGCGCGGCGCTGGAGGTCGCTCGATTCGATCATCCACGCCGAAATCACCAGGAGAGAGTTCACGATGGGTGAGATGGACGCCAGATTTGACCCCAGACGAGTGCACGGTGGATGTAAACGGCAACAACGAGAGCGACGTCCAGGACGAGGGTGACGACGACTCAGATGGATCGGGAGGCGACGTCGTCACGGAGAAGATGACGCGACGACGGCTTCGCGAGGAGTGTTACTCCATGTGGCAGCCCGGGCAACCCGTTGTGGTGCAAGTCACGCGACTCGGTAGTGGATACAAGGGTCCTCGGGTGACAGCGCGACCGACGCTCCCGGGAAGAAACGTTGTCCTTTGCCCTGACGGGGAGGGCGTGTACGTGTCCAGGAAACTCATGGGACACGCGCGTAAGTATGTCAAGGATGTGGGACTCACAGTGTGTCCGGAAGGCAGCGCACTCATCATGCGGACTGAGGCCGCGGGCGTGAACAAAGACACGTTGAGGCTCGACATCGGGTGCTTGGCGGACGACTGGTCGAAAATCGTCACTGAGTCGGAGGGCGTCGTGTACGCGGCCAACGAGTCATTTACGACTCCGCATCCGCGGCGTCTGCTTCAGGCTGCCTCCCGAGAGCAGGTACTCGTACGTGATTTATTTGGCGAGCGCGTGTCGAAGCTCACTGTCGATACCCCGGAATCGTATAAAATCATTGTTGACGACTTGATGCGCTCGGGCGCGTCGCAAGCCATCATAGACCGCGTCGTTCTGCACGAAGCTCCGGAGTCGGTGTTTGAATCTCTCGGAGTTGACGCGGACATCGAATCCATGGTCGGAACGGAACGCGTTTTCCTCGGTCCTGAGCTTTCTGGCGCGCACATAGTGATCCAGCACACCGAAGCTCTCACGGCAATCGACGTGAACGCCGGGCGCACGGCGATGGAAGCCGGCGAAGATGGCGAGGCGATCGCTTTGCGCGTTAACATGGCCGCCGCAGCGCTCGTTGCGAGAGTACTTCGCTTGAGAGACATCGGCGGACTCGTCATGGTCGACCTGATCGACATGCACGCCGATGATGCTCGCAGAGAGGTCGAGAAAGCGTTCCAAGCCGCTGCGGCGCGCGACAGAGCGCAAGTGGTTTTCGTGCCTATTTCAGCTCTCGGCGTGATGGAAATCGCTCGCGAACGGTTGCAGACGCACGCTCTAGGCGCGGCTGCTGTCATCGCGAACGAGAAGGGCATGCCCATCGCCTCACTGGCTGACAGTAAATTTATGGGGGACAAATCGCATCAGAAGAAGGTTCGGAGTGTCAGGGGACCGCGTCCGCCACCCTGGGCCGCCGGACGCGGAAGAGGCGGTCGTGGTCGTGGAGGTCGCACGGAAAGGAAGCCGTTCAGAGACTAGTCAGAGGCCCACGGGGACGGCGACAAGTCGTTCGAGATTGATTCGCGGTTGCAATTACAAACGACGCAGTGCGATAAAAAATCATTCCGTCAATACGCCTTCTTTGCGCTGTGCTTGTTGCGATTTCCCTTCGATTTCTTCGCCGACTTGGCGTCCTTTTCAACTTTCTCTCGTTTCTCGTGCCATTCTGGCGCGACTTCATCTTTGTATCTATAGTCGAAGAAGAGCTCCTCACCCGGGGCAATATCTCTCAAAGCAAACATGGCCAAGCGGTTGTCGCCGTTGACCGCCATGACGGCGGATCGGACGTTAGGGTGAACGGAATGGTTCGCAAAACGAAGTTTGTTCCCTCTATTTTGCGCATCGATGCAGAATTCACTGTTCAAGTCGAACAAATAAGAGCAATTATTCCGGTCGTAAACCATCCCTCGCCTATCGGCTTCATCTTGAGTGACGAGTTCGCCGACGTATTCACCGATGAAGTCATCTTTGCGTGCGCCGTGAAGAACGTGCGCGCCCCATCCAGCGACACCACTCTTACCCAAGCACACGTGTTCCTTTTGCCTGAGCTGAAGTTTCATGTTACCACACGGATAGTCAGGTATTTTTGCAGTCTGCGCTGGATCGACGAAACCATACTTTTGACGAATGGGCAGCATAAGGGCATCGGCGGTCTTACAGCAGCGCCGGCACTTATCCGGAGTGCATTCGCGTCCAGCTGCGAAACAAGGGCACGTATTCGTCCGGCACGTCTTCTTTGTTGTCTCGCACTTGCATCCTGGGAATTCATTATCGCAGTTTGGACCACAGTTGCAAAAACGCTCGCAGAAGATACCTTTCTGTATGCACGAGCACGTCGCCGCATCGCACTGGCCCTCACAGTCGCAAGGGGTATACTGAGTCACGAGCGCATTTTCATCCGTTTTCGATCGCTTCAAACGATTCGCGATCGTGGGGTTCTTCTTCTTGGTCTGACCACTGCGATGTTTTCGCTTTTTGCCTTTATTCTTGCCGTTTACGTCTTCGTCGCCCTCTTCCACGTCTTCGTCAGCGACAATGGCACCACTTGAAATCAGCTCTAGCGAGTGAATTTGTCTTCCAACATCGGCGCAGGTACGTCGCTTACCAAAGAAAAGTGTGACATCGCACGCCGTCGGCTTCCCTCCCGCAGTGCTCAGTACCTCTACAGCTTTTTTCAAGATCTCAACATCCAGCACGTTGCGCCACTTCCTTCTGTTCTTCGCGAATGGATCTTCCGTCTCCGAGTCCTTCGACAGCGGCGATCGTTCCGATGGGTCGCAAGAAACACATACCATGCCGTGTGTCGCAAGATATTTGTACTCAGATGACTGATACCAGCACGCAGGAGAGCATTTTAAATCATTTTCGTTGACGTTCGCCTTCTTGTGCATGCGTTCGCGCCATAAGAGCTTTCTCTCACTCGCGTGCTTCCGCCCCCTCGACTTTGGCTGCAAAGATCCGTGCGTCCTGCAGTCGAATACAAAACATCTTGGACAGAACGCGCCAGAAAGTTGTTCAGTGGCCTCTTCCAGAGTATCAAAAATGATAACTGGCTTCTTCAGCGGGGCCATCGTCGGGGCGTTGATGACAATTTGTGCGAAATATTGCCAGAATATCCCATCGGTGTCGACTTGAGCTAAAGTTTCGCAGACACCACCCATCAACTTATACAAGCTCTCAAAATTGTCGAACTTGGAGTACGGAGACCACAGTTTGCATACGATCTCGATCGCTTCTAAAAACATGCACCAAGCTCGGCTGGTGCTCTGCGTCGTCCGCGCTTCGTTCAACCAATCGACGACAATCTCTTCTTCCATCTTCAAGATCGATGACACCTCTTCCACGACGTGCTTTACAACTGTTTCGCGTTGCATGCCGTTGACCTCCACGTGATCGAACAGCACGAAACGACTAAACGTGGAAGCCAGCGCGCCTAGCACAAACTCTTGCTCGCGCGTAAATTCATTTGCCACCTTGACCTGTTCGATGTCGTCCGCCTGGTCCTCTACAAACTCGCCCTCTTCGTCCTTGTAGAGCAATCTGGACTGATTATCGTCGTGCTCGTTGAACGAATTACAGTGCGTGGAATAAGCAAAGTAGTTGTAAGGCGGTACGGCCTCTGAGCTACCCAGGTTTACGCAACGAACCTTTTGAGTCTTCACCGAGTTCGCACGCATCTTCCATGAGCGGCGGTTGCGATGGTGAGAGCTAAACGGTTGTACCGCCACTTGAGTCTTCACTGACACCGTCTTCGATGGCACATCGACGAGCGCCCGATCGTGTCGCCAAAAAGGCAGCGTCAGCGTATCCTCACGAGCGGAACTGGACGGCGATGCGTCGCTCGTCGAAGCCGGAGCTACCTGCGCTCGCACAACCGCTCGTTCCCACTTTCTCAACTCGTCTCTGTATGTTTTTAAAGCCCTACGCACAACCGCTCGAGCGTGTTCTTTCGTCTTCGCCTCGCGAAGGCACGCCTCGCGAATACACGCAGCTTTGCGGTTGGTCGCGTTCGTATTCGCCTCCAGTGCGTTCGCCTCGCGCGCTCGATCGCGCATGCGCTCTTCGACCTCCTTTTCGACCATCACCTTTGCGAATTCCTCCCCCCGTTCCTCGAAGAACGCGCGCAAGGCGGACACGAACGCCAACTCCGCTGACGTCGCCCCAAACTTCTTCAGCTCATCCACGACCTCGCTCGGCGCCGGCGCGTCGTCGTTCACATCCTCTTTATCCAAGACCACGACGTCATCGACGTCCACCGCCCTGCCCTCGGCGCGCTTTCCCGACCCGCGCGCCGCCTCGCCCCCCTCGTCGAGCGTCCCGCCTCCCTCGCTCGACGTCTCTTCGCTCGACAGCAGGTTCACGATCTCCACGTTCGACGTCGACGTCGGCATCGGCGTCACCACCCGCGCTTTCACCGTCGACGCGTTCGCTCGCGCGTCCGTCATCGCCGTCGTCGCTCGTCCGTCGTCGTCGTCGTCGTCGAATCCGAGCGTCGTTCCGGTCGTCGTCTTCGGCGTCATCGCTCGCTCGCACCGCCGCGCGCGCAGTGCGACGGGGGCGAACGGACGCGATCGCGGTCGTCCGTCGCGGTCGTCCGTCGAGCGCGATCGCGCGTTACCGCGTCACCGCGTCGCGGCGTCGCGCGCGCGACGGACGGCGCGCGATTGCGTCGTGCGTCTCGGGTGTTTTGTAAACCCTATACCCTATACCCCCGAACCCCTAGTTTTTGAAAGAATGCCGCGTCCCGACCTCGAGCGCCGCGACGCGCGCGCGCGCACACGCCGACGACGATCGGGGCGCGACGCCTACGCGATGGTTCGAACGCGTCGTCGTGCGCGCGAACGGCGTCCGACGCGACGCGGTGATGATGCGACGGAAAAGACGAACGCGCACGCTCCAGGGCGACGTGCGGTGAAGCGTGGACGCGGACGACCGAGGAAGGGAACTGACGATGGACGAGGGATGAATGAGGTGCGCGACGCGGAGGAACGATGTAAACGTCGTGTGCGAGCGGTCGCGGACGCGGTGCGGAAGGGAGGCGTGGTGTGGGCGATCGTGGGGTGGAAAGATAGTCAATGCGCGCGCGCGGCGTCCGACGCGCGCGTTGTTGGAGATTGGGCGCGCGCGATGTGTGTGAGATGACTGACGATGCATCGATCGGTGGTTGATGATACGTAGTTTGCGCTCGCGCGATCGCGGATACAGTCGCAGTTCGCGACGATTCGAAGACATCAGGCGTTGGTGGAAGCGTACGCGAGCGACGGCTGGCGCGGACAGGCGGCTCAAAAGCCGAAACCAGTCAGGGAGATTGAAAAGGCGCGCGAGAAGATATTCGAGGGTAAATTGAAGATACGGGAGTATTTTAAGGTTTTGGAGTTCGATGAGCGCGAGCGCGAGATCACGACGGTGGCGGACGAGTTTGGGGAGTGCGACGCCGCGGATATTTTTTGTAGCAAGTGCACCCTCGCAGACGACAGGCATGACGACGATATTTTGCTCTGCGATGGCTTCTGCGATCGTGCGTATCATCAATCATGCGTGGCTCCACCGGTTTTGGCGGAAGACATTCCGCCCGAGGACGAAGGTTGGCTCTGTCCGAGATGCGACGCGCGAGTGGACGTCATTTACGTCTTGAACGACGAGTACGATCAAAATTTGGGCCAGAGGTGTGTTTCAGCGGATATTTTCGTTGCAGAGGCGGACATGCGAGATAAAGGGATCGTTCCAGGAACGGCGCAGTTCAAACACGCGCACGAAGAGGATTGGCCGAGCGATGAGAGCGATGACGAGGACTTCGATCAGGGCGGACACAGCGACGATGGGCGAGACGACGAGCACGAGGCGCTGAGCGGAAGCGCACAGTCATCGAGCGATGAATCGAGCAGCGAATCAGAGTCTGATCTCATCATCGAGGGCCCACGAAGGCGCACGAAGGTTGATTACGTCGCCCTGAACAACGCCATGTTCGGCGACAGCGAGGCGTACGAGGGCGAAGCTGAGGAGCTCGGTTGGAAACGCAGCAACAAAACCAAGGCGGAGATGCTCGCGGCGCTCAAGGGTGAGAGCGCGAACGGGATAACGAACGGTGCCACGAAGAAGGATCCAAAATCAAAACGCTCGAAGCGAGAGCGCGTGGATGAGAAATCTCCCGCACCGCGCGTCAGGTTCACTCCCGATCAAAAACTTGAGCTCGAGCGTGTCTTCTCCGAGTGCGCGTCGCTCGACATTGACGCGCGCGACGCCCTCGCGAAGCGACTCGGGATACCCGGCGGCGCAAATTCGATTAAAATATGGTTCATGAATCGCCGTCGTAGGGCTAAGATTTTGGGTGAGAGGTAATACTGACAGCACGATAATCCACGTCCCGCTCGCTCGTTCGACGCCTCGTCACAAACAACCTCTGAAAAACCTTCAAGTCACCTCAGAAGCTCACGCGCGTCTCAAACATGTCGATCGCCCCTAAACGCGCCCCCAAACTCATATACTTCTCCGCGTGGTTCTGCCCGTTCGCCCATCGAGCGACGCTCGCGTTGGAGCATTACGCGCACGGCGGAGAGATTTCCTACGAGTGGAAGGAATCGCTCGGTGAGGTCACGCTTCGTTGACATTTGACGCTCGAATGCGACGAAACTTGAGCGCCTCGACTGACCGGAGACGAATCGCCGCGTAGGATGGGAAAAACGCAAGTCAACCTCGAGTGAGGTGAAGACGAAACACGAGAATTGGTACCATTACAAGTCCCCAGAGCTACTGAGACACAACCCGCTGGGCATGGTGCCGACACTCGTGACGCCGGCGACGTATGAGGATAAAGATGGAGATCCATCGCGGAACGTGGTGACGGAGAGCTTGGTGTGCGTACAGTTTATCGATGAACTCGTTCGGGGAAACGCGTACGCCGGGGAGACGGCGGCGATCATGCCGAGCGACCCGTACGCGCGCGCGAAGGCGAGAGTGGACGCCGACTGGGTGAACAAAAACGTATGCTCGAGGTATTATCACGTCCTGGTGCGACAAGAGGCGAGCGAGCAGAGAGAAGCGTTTGAAAAGCTCGTGGAGGGGCTGGAGACATTCGCGGCGTGGTGCGGCAGCGGAGAAGGGAAGTTCTATGGTGGACAAACGACGCCCGGATTGGTGGACTACGCGCTCTTTCCATGGGCGTGGCGCCTCCCGGTGTTCGAGCACTACCGCGGGATGGATTTCAAGATTCCTCGCACCGCGGCACTGAAATCGTATCACGATTGGATGGAAGCCATGCTCGCGCGAGAGCAAGTTCGCAAGACGCTTCCACCGTGGGACGATTACTTGGAACACATTGGACGATACGCCGACGGGAGCGCGCGATCGAAAGTCGCCAACGCAGTCCGCAGCGGCCGTGCGGCGCACGATTACGACGACAAGGAGGACAACACCGATAGTTGATATCTCCACCATTAAAAATCCCATGTTTTCTACCGTAGCGTCATTCTTTGTGAATATTACTCGAATTTGTCTTCTACTTCGGCCTACCTGGGAGCAACCGCCCAGGAATGAGCACGCCGCCACGAGTTCGATCCGCCGCGAGCACACACCCACCGCTCAACTCATCCGGTCGTGTGAACACGTCGTGCATCGTTTCCAACCACTCCAACATCTTCACCGCCACGTCCTCGTCTTTTGCGCTACCCTTTTCTCCTCCCCTCGCCTCGCTCGCTACCTCGCGCAGGCGATCGCCCAGCGCGTTATGCGCGTGCGTCGTTAAACCATCCGTCGACCGCGACTTCATGCGCCCCGGATCCTCGGGTGCGCTCAGTGCCCATTCGATAACAAAAGCTCGCGGTGCGATCGCCGTTACGATCGTTTCGCCGTTCGCTTCGTCCACGCGCGTCTCCAGCGTCCCGCCTCGCGCGCCCGCTCGAATCCGATCCCCGAGCGCATCCTTTCGATCCGTCGTCTCCCGCGTCGTCGTCAACACCGCGTTCACCTCATGCGTCGCCGACGTCGCGAGCGCGTCGATCGACGCCGCGTCGCGAGCGCACGCGCGGATTAAACGATCGAGGTCGTGACCGGTTGAAGATTCTGATTGCTTCGCAGCCGTGCTCAGCGCGTCGACGAGTCTCGAGACGTTCGCCCGCGCGTCGTCGATGGCGTCAAGGGCGGCGTCGATTTCGCGGGCGGCGAGCGCGCGACTCGTCATCGCGCGTTGGCGTTGGGTAGTGAGGCGCGGATGCTTTTTGGTTGGATGCTTTTGCGTTCTGCGGTGCAACCGTTCTACTGCGTTATGCGTGCTATGGGCGTTCGGTCACTTCTCGCGCGCTTTCGTCTTCAAACGCCCGTCGACGTCAAAACCTGGGTGAGAAAGGAATATGCGAGTGTACTCGGCGGTGGCGACGACGGCGCTTGCGGCGGTGGCGTACTCTAAACCGGTTCTCGCGTTCGATGCCGAGGTGAAGAACTCGGCGAGCGGGAGCTCGCTCGCGTGCGTAGCGTACACGGGCTCGGCGCACGCGAAGGCGAGTAAGGCCATTTGCATCGCTGTGTTCACCTTGCCGATGAAGAGTGGACGGAGAGCACCTCTCTTTGAGCCGAGACCCTCGACTTCGTCTACATCGAAATTGAAACCGGCGAGCGCGGCCGCGCCCGTGGGCGGTGGACGATTTACCGGTTTATCATCGAACCCTAGAAATTCACCCAAGGTGTTCCATCGCCATCCCAGGGCGCCGGCGCGTCGCCACGCGCCGCCGATGACGTGCACCACGTCTCGAAATATGAGCAAACTCACGAGCCACACTGGTAACCGACCCTCCAGCGCGAGGGCTAAACCGACCGAACCTACGAACACTTTATCCGCCACGGGATCGAGATAACTCCCTAAAATCGTCTGCTGCTTCCACCTCCGCGCGAGAAAACCATCCAAATAATCTGTAACTGCCGCCGCCGCAACGCCCCCGAGCACCACTTCGGGCGACGCCGCGTTCAAAGCTATCGCTACCCCGAGCACCGGACCCGCGACGATCCGCATCGAGCACAGCGCGTTCGGCGCGTTGAAATTTTGCTCACCCTTGATCAACTCACGCTTACTCTCCGACGCTTTCTCGTCTCTGTCTTGACCCGCGTCCCGGTCGCCGCGTCCCGAGCTCGCCGCGTCCGCGTCTTCCTCCGTGCGCACAAAGACCACTCGCGCGCTCGAAACCAGCGCGCGCGACGCAAACGGAACACCATCGCGATGTAGCGCCCAGCGCGCGCGCTCGTAATCGATGCAAGCGTCAACAGGGGGCACTCGAGCGAGACTGTGAAGAACCCTGAGCGAGCCAAACGGCGTTCGTCGCGTCGCTTCGTGGATGCTCGTGAAGATGAAGACGTCGCGCGCGGACGTGGACGCGAGTGAACGCGCCGCGCGCGCGGCGGTATGCCGCATGGGCGCGCGTGAGCGCGCACGTGACCGCGCGCGATGCGCGGTGGTTTCTGGGGAGTCGGGCGCGGCACCGGTCGGCTATTACACGTCGCGAGTCAAGATTTTCGACGCTTCGCTGGAACCACCGCGGCTTCGCTCTGGTCATAATCATTATTTTCGCCCTCCTCTTCGTTCTCGTCGTCGGTGTCGTCAAAGTAGTCATTGGGGACCTCGTCCTCGCGCGCTGGACGATACCACCAACCGAAAATCGAGCGCCGCGTCTTGGTTTCCGATTTCACCTCCCGCACGGCGTGCGACCTGGGAACGCTGAAGCACACGAACCGATTGAACTTGGGCTCGATCAAACGCCCGTTTTCGCTCTCGAGATCCTCGAGCGCGCCGCCGTCTACCTCGACGTCCCAGTCGTCGGGCGTCAAGTAATACACGCCCGCGAACGCTCTCGCGTGCACTTCGTACCCACCGTCTGCGAGCTCGACGGGCACGAACGCGACGTCGTCATGCGGCTCAATTCCATCTCGTTTGACGTATCGACTCGCGGTGAAGCTCGGGTAAAGCTGATCGAAATCCGTCTCGTGTGCCTGTCCTGTCCCGCTCGCCGCCGCCGCCTGCGCCGCGCGTTGTAACGCGAAAGCCACGCGCGTGAACTGATTCACCGCCTCCGCGCTCGTCGTCGCGTCGAAATCATGCGTGACTTCTTCATAGTCTAGCCGCGCGCGCTCCCAAGTTGCGTCGTCGACGCTCTCGAGATCTTCTCTCATCGCGGTCGCGACGTGTGTCGGCAACAAATCGTCGACGACGACGATGTTTTCACCGTCGACAGCGCGAAGGAGCGCTCGCGAGGCGCCGGCACGAGCGAGCATCTCCGACACGGCGTCTTGATCGTACAGGTCATCGATGGTAAAGTCGCGAGGCATCGAGGAATGACGTTGCAAGACTGCCGTGAAAACTTTTCATGCTTGAAAACATTTAATAGCGCGCGCTTCAGGTTGGTGCCGAAGCAATGTATGCGCGGGTAGACCTCTCCAGGGCCGATATAGGGCGCTCGTCTAAACGCGCCAGGTTTTGATAAAAGGGTAGCACATCGGAAGGCACCTCGAGCGAGGACTGGGCTCGTCCGTGATGTCTTGTTCGAAGTGCGAACGCTTTTTGAATTGTCGGAGGTAGCCCTTGCGGTCGTATCCCGTCTTTGGGGCGTGGCAGATTAATTTGTTCAAACCTGGAACCACGGTCAAGATGAACGGAAAAGCTAAAAGGTTGTACAGCGTCTGAGCCCAGAAAGCGACGCCGTAGATTTGCCACGTTTGGCCCTTCCCCCAGTCGATCCAATGCAAAAACTGTATCGTGCACGCAGCGGTGATTACGAACGTGATCAACTCGTAACAGAAAAGTATGCGCTGGAGTCGACGCGGACTCATGTTTTTCAGCTTGACCACCGTATAAGTCGTTGCGCTCAAATCCACTTGCGTTTTAGTTTTCGATTTGTCGTCCTTGTAATAGATAGTGTGCAAGCCCGTCCCTTCGTCGTACGCCTTCACCTTGGCACGACGTTGAACGTAGTGGAAGCCTCGAAGTCCGTTTGAGCGTCCGGTACCACCGCGAATGGATCTTTCCCTTGCGATCACATCCAGCTGCTTGTCTACGATGCGACGGAAGCGATCGATCGGTTTCTCTTTACTCCGTCTGTTTGTTAAGCGATTGAAACAAGCCGCAAGGGAGTTGGCTGTTTTGAACTTCGACCCAGGTCTGACCACTGTAATCATGATGGTGCCCCCGACGAGCGTCGTGTCGCCCGCGATGGCCCGTCCAAACGCGAAAGAGTTCTTCAGCTTGTGAAACGCGTACCAGCACATGATGATTCGCATACCATAAGCGGCAACGTTCAACTTCACACAATTAGACGTCCCGATAGCGCACGACTCCATATCTGTCACCCACGGCCCGCGCGTATCGCACGTGTGCGCCATCCCGCTATCGATGACTCCAGCGCATTCAATGAAAGCAAAGACGCCGACGAAGACAGATATCGTGCCGGATACAAACTGAATACCCTTGAAGACCATGATGAACTCAAACATTTGCCACTCGTCTCGCTTGTCCACGAGCGCAAGCCGGATAAGGAAAATGAGCGCCTGAAAGCCCAGCCCGTAATAGAGTTTGGCAAAGAGAAATATCCACCAATACGGGTTACGCACCTTCCCGAAAACTGTTTTATCTTGAGGAACTTCGTTGTACAGATACCAACAGCGAATTCCGTCGAAGAACGCACCGATGCGACCCAGCACCCCATTACGTTTCTTTCTGATCCTATGATCTAACGCTTTTGCCTCCAGCGAAGTCGCTTGCGTCTTGGCACTCTCAAGGATTTTCATTCTTATGCTTAACTCACTCATGAAACTCGTCTGAATGTCATTGATATACATGTTAATGACCCCACTGAGGTAACCTTTTATGAACTGCGGCATGTCGCGGTCCGCCACTGCTAGTTGGGAGACTTTCTTCTTCTTTTCCTCGATGGTTGTGTCGATGATTCTGAGAGCTTTTCGCTTCCCAATCTCCATTGCTTGCTCTATCTTGGAGTTAAACCACGATCCGATCCCGCTCTGGCTCAAGCTTTTGCCAATATTCCTCGGATTGATGAGCGTCTTTGCGAACGCTAGCATGGCTCTGGCTTCCTCAACCAACAGTGCCATTTTCTTTGGCTGTTGCAGCTTGAAACATACACTCAGCTTACTCGGACGTAGTTCAACGTAATGTCCGTGATCGAAATCGACTCGCCCTGGCTTCAACTTCAACGCACGAGGAACGTTCTTTTCTGTACCAGTACTGAATATATTCAGAGGCAAAACGGCGTAGCCCATGTGATCGTCCGCCGACATGATGTCGTAGTCGTAAACATCAATTCGCATGGAGCATTCTTTCAACTTGAGCGATTCGTGCCCCATATAGAACGATTCGTCCCACACCGGATTGAGCGTTTTCGGGCGATAGCCCGTTCGATGCACCTGTCCTGTTATAGGCACTCCGGAGCTGTTCACGATGGACACCTTCACGTACGGATCGGACGTTTCGCCCGAATCCATCGCCAATAACTTACGACCGGATTCGATGCGAACTCGTACGAACACTCCCTTCAGGGAGGTGCAATGCGACACGTCGGCGAAGATGAGCCCCGCCGCCGAAGTTGAGTCCTCTTCCACGTGCCCCGACATGAACATCGCCGCACCCGTTTTTCCCAGTTCGTTTAACATTGTGCCGACCGATTCAACCACGCTTGCCTCTTCTGCGTCTTCCTTCGGGACAGATTCTTCCGACCCGCCAATCTCCCGTGCGAGGTCTTTCGCGCTCGTCAGCGTGGTGATCATCCGCTCCAACTCATCCTCCCTCGAGTTCCCGACTCGGTTCGACCACGCGCTCCCTTCGCCCTCGCGACCGACCTCATCGACGTTATCTTCGTCATCCGTGTCGTAATCGTCCTCGGAGTCGCTCTCCATGAGCAAGACGTTTCTTCGCACGTCCCGCGCGATGCGACCAAAAAAACCTAAACGCGCCACGCGCTCGAGCAACCGCTCGCGCCTGCGCACCACGCGCGTTCGAGATTCCATCCGTCAGTCCGCGGCCGTCGCTCAACGACGCGAAGCAATCGATCGCGCGCGCATCGAAGCGAATGCGTTCGAATGCATTCGAATGCCATTCAATCGGAGCATCTTTCTTCAAAGTGTGTTCCTCAGCCGTACCTCGCGCGCTCGACCTCGTCCACGCCCTCGACGTCGTCGGCGTCCGGAGACATCGTCGCGGGCGACGGCGCGGTCGCCATCGCGCCTCGCGCGGTGTCACGGCGCGGTGTCACGACGCGATGTCCGAATGGTCGATCCACGTATTCGCGCCGTATGGGTAAACAGTAGGTGAATATCGAGCGACGCGTCCTCACCGGTGGACGAGGTCGTCCTCCGCCGCGACGACCGTCCGCGTCGAGGGTGACGACGACGGAGCGATCGAACGCGTGGGTGATTCAACGATGGATGAAGCTTTGAATTAAACCGTTCGTTTCGTCGGCGACGAACGCGGTGGCGAGGGTGAACACGACGAGGAGGGCGACGTCGCCGCCGGGGAGCGCCGGTTGTAAAACCGGGAGACACTCCGCGGGGTCGTTTTCGATCGAGCACTCGGTGCGCGCGCGTCGGTGTCTGTACGCCATGACGGGTGGCATCATTCCGAAGACGACCAGGACGCCGAACGCGCCGGCACTGTCCAGAGCGGCGAGAAAGACGTCGGGATTGGTGAGCGCGAAAATCAACGGCGGCGCGAGCGCCAATGCCCAAGGAAGCGGATCGTCCTCGGTTGTTTTCAATCCGTCCGCGATGTACCCCGCGAGCCCCCAACCGAAACCTAAGAAGCTTGTCATCACCGCGAAGAGCTCGAACCCACGCACCAAGGTGGCGGTGAGCGGTGAGGCTGCTTGGAGCGTCGCTATCGGATCGATCGTCGCAGAGGAATCGACGGGTACAGAGCCGAGCACCGCGGCGTCCCATAAAATGAACATCAAGGCCGGTATCAACGTCCCAAGTAGAATTGCCGTTTGCGCGCGCGATTTATCCCCCTCGAGCGACGTCGCGACGACCGGAACAACCTGATGATACACAAACGCCACCGCGATGATGGGAATTGTCGCCGGCGTCTTTGACCAATCCGAAACCGCCAGCAGATTCTCCGCCGACCCACTCTGCGCAGCGACGGCGAGCAAGGGAACAAATGTCGCGATAACGCCTGTGAACAACACCGAGTTCACTTTCTCAATCTTGGCCGGCGACGCCAAATATAAAAACGTAGCCATCGTCGCGGTGAACGCAACGGATGCCGCGTTCGATCCACCAGGCCACGTTGGAAACGCCTCTGTCGCGAGTTCACCGACTTTTTGCACGTATGCTACCAATAGCGCGTAGTGTATGAACGCGTACGACGCCGTCGCCACCTTGGTACCGTTGCTTCCTAACGTTCGCTCCGCCAACGCGTTAAACGTCACCCCGCCCGCTCTACCGAGCGCGCACATCGTCCCCAAGTTGACCTCCAACACGCACAAACCACTGCAAGCGAAGAATGCCCAGCACGCTAAGATGACGACGGTGCTCGGAACGAACCCGGCGTCGCGAAGGACTATCGGTAAGGCTAACATGCCGGCGCCGAGCGTCGTCCCGGCGACGAGAGCGACCGCGGACGCGATGTTCCCGGCGACGCGCGTCACTGAATCACTCTGCGCGTCGACATTGGACCATAGACGCGTGAGGTCTTCGTCTCCTCTGAGTGCGTCGTCCTTCGCATCGCTTTCAGGGTCATCCACGACGGCGCGCGGGCGCCGCGCCACGCGTAAAGCAATGCGGCGGACCGAACGCGACGAAAGCGGATGGTTCACGCGCGGCGACGACGCCAGCGATGCACCAGAGGTGGACGCGCGCGCGTGCGAACGCATGCGGGCGAGGCACATCGCGGCGCCCGGAGAGTCAGCGTGTGCGGACGGATGCTCGCGGCACCGCAAGTTCACGGTATGAATACAGAATCTATTGTGACGCGAAACGACGCTTCAGTGCCCGCGCGATCTCGAAACATGCGAGGCAATCACCGTGAGCGATATCACGCTCGGACTCCAGGAGCGCGGGTGATGCCCGAGCGAGGTTCGGGTCTTCGCGCAACGCGCGCAGGGCTAACCGAATGTTGTTTTGAGCAGCGCCGCCGTCCGGAACGGGATCGCGGTTGACGCCAGCAAGGCGACGACGGGTGAAGCGCTCGACAACATCACAGAGAATGACTCCAAGTTTCATCCTCGCAAGTATACGTTCGACGGCGACGGATTCGTGAGGAATTTCTTCGGGCCACGAGTCGACGCGAGCGAACCATTGAGCGAGCTCGAGAGCCTCGGCAGGGTCCGCTGAGGCGGTCGCTTCCACTTCCTGCGGCGACGGTGGCGGTGCGTCGTTCGTTTGTCTCGACGCAAATGCGTGACGTCGACGCGCTTTGGACGATTTGAGCTGTGATGACTCCGTGTCCGCACCCACCGTCTTCGTCGTCTTCAATCGAGCGCTCAGTGTGTACGCTCGCTCATCCCACGGTTTCCTCCGCGGCGCCTGTTCCTCGATGTTTTCGCACGTATCCCTCTCTCGACGCTCAAAAGACGGTGCTTCGTACCCAACAACATCTGGAGCGTACGGCCTCGTCGACACCCACCCTTTTTTCGGCCTCGGAGGTAATCCATCCACGAGTGCTCTCGCGTCCTCCAACGCGCCCAGGACGTCCTCCGCTGTCCACTGCTCGCGAATCAAAAACCTACTCGACATACCCCTCATCTCCCGCAAGCGTTCAATCCCCCGACGTACATTCGCTTCCATCGTTCCCGTCGTTTTTGGGCGCATGAAAACCCCGGCGATCGCGCGTCCACTGATCCGCTCCGCGACGCGACACAGCGTTGTTCCAGTCGTCAGTGAACGCAACCACTCCGCGTCCGTCTTCGCCTGTCCACTATCCTCGCTTGCGGTTCCCGTTTCGATTGTCCACCGACGCAAACTTCTAATGAGTACCAAGACATCGCTCTCGTCGTACGGCAGACCGTTCGACGCGCTTGTCGACGCCGAGCGCCTCTGTCGTGCTGCGTCCCGCCGCGTCGCAACTGCAGCACTCTCATGGCTAAGTTCTGACGTACGCGTCCCCAGGTGCGCGCCAACTTCGTCTACATCGCCCCAATCGATGTCATCAGCACCCCCGAACGCTAATCGCTCGAGCGCCGAGCTTGGCATCGATAGTAAACGACGCTCGAGCGTCGAAATGTGAAGGAAAATTAAAGTGCGAACTCACGAAGGAAACACGAAGTGTCACTCTTTGACGCTCTCGGGGAACGTCACGTCGGCCCGAAGCGCTCAGAGTGACCCATGGCAAACGTGGGGGAATCCTACGCCTACGGTGCCTCCACCGATGCGTCGTCGAGCCCGTTCGCCAAGGCGAAAGCACAACTCGAACGAAGAGTGCAAACTATATTAGATCGCTCTGTCCCGTTCATCGCCCAGCGTTGGTCGTTCTACGCCTTTGTGGCGTTCGTGTACGCCGTGCGAGCGTACTTCTTGAAGGGGTACTACATCGTCACGTACGGACTGGGGATTTATAACCTCAATCTGTTGATCGGGTTCTTGTCGCCGCAGCGCGACCCTGAGTCATTGCGGAGTGGAAACGATGGACAAGATGGTCCGTCTTTACCGACGAGGAACGAGCAGGAGTTTAAACCGTTCGTGCGAAGACTCCCAGAGTTTAAATTTTGGTGGATGAGCCTGAAATCGATCGGCACGGCGTTTTGCATGACGTTTTGCCCGGTGTTCGACGTGCCGGTGTTCTGGCCGATCTTGTTGATGTACTTTTTTATGCTCTTCTTCATGACGATGAAGCAGCAGGTGAAACACATGATTAAACATAAGTACGTGCCGTTTACGACGGGGAAGCCGACGTTCGGTGGGGGATCGAGCGTCGGCGCGAGTGGGTTGCAGAAGAACTCAGACTAAAGATACCACGCATAGCAAGAGCGCAAAAAAATGAGTCGAGAGTCCGACACTCGAGCACACTCGCTTGTGATTCGGGCTACGATCTGTTGTCATAATTCATCATTCTAGGAGCTAAATAATTTTGAGAATCATTGTGCGCACGCTCGCGTCGTCCTCACGCGGTCGCCGTCCACAAACCGTCCCGGAGGTAGTGCACCAAGTCGACGCCGATTCCCTTATTCACGCTTCGTATCTCTTCCGTGCTCATCTTCGTGATCCCGATCGCCAACGCGTGTTCCTTCCCCTCGGCGTAGATCGCCACCGGTTCGTCCGCCTCGCACTCGTCGTGCATCGTCGCCCCGGCTGACGTGAGACCGGGACACATTATGTTCGCCCCAGATATCACGAACCGGATGGCGCCCTTGTCCACGCGTAATCGCGGCATCATCTCCGGGTATCTGTGAACGAGTCTCAACACGGGGAAGTACGGCCCGTCGCGGTGCTGGAAAAATATCGGCACGTCGTCCACGAGCACCACGTTGACCTTGTCCGCGCACTTGCCCAAGACAACAACAGCCTTCTTGGGCATGATGTCGTCGAGGACATCGTCCAAGGCGGGATACTGATCAGAGATCTTCGCTCGGATACCCCTCTGTACCGATGATTTGAGCTGCTGCGTCGTCTCGACGTGATACTTGCGAAACATCGAGCGTGTGCGCGAGAGGTCGAGAGGCGGAAAGTGACTTCGAGGGCGCGGAGTCAATGAGAATATCGTTCGATTCCTTCGATTCGATATAAACATGGGCGCGCGCAGCTAACTAATGTCGTCAATTATCGTGCATATATCGTTTTAGGTGTGTTCATTCGTCGTAGGACTCCACGCCGAGTTCGTCCGCGGCCTCGATGTGAGAGACGTAGGCGTCGTCGCGGAGCGCGGCAGATTGGCCGCTGAGAGCGCCGCCCTCGGCGTAGGCGCCGAGCGCGCCTGATCCGGCGCCGACGACGAGACGCATACGGTTACCATCGTTCGACGCCGTGAGCGAGGCGCAAGTGAGCAAGCCTTCGATGCCCTTGAGCGTATACAGGTAGCCGTCGCCGTCTTCATCTGCCACCGGAGCCAAGCCAGATCCGGTTGCGTCGACGGCGCGCACGTGCACGCACCCCTGCGGGGCGTCGTCATCGTCGGATTCCTCACCATTTGCATTAAGTGGGAAGTATGCCGCGGTCGATAAAAGTAAACCGCCGCCTTTCATACCGTCGAGCTTGAGATACTGCAAACCTGCAATCGGAGCTTCGCACCCGTCGACTCCCGGTACATTCGGGAGTAAACGTGGCATCGCGCTTGGATTGGACAGCGAGTGTACCTTGATATTGGAAGAAAAGTCGCCCGCGAAGAGCACGCCTTTCGGTCCAGGGCACACGGCGTAGACGCGTCCGCGATGCTCGCTCATGGTTGCCACGGCGACATGTTGTCGAGCATCCCAAACGCGAACGGTTCCGTCAGCGCTACCGGAGACGTATAGCGTTGCGTCGCCCTCGGACCAGTCATACGTGCACATCGACGTAATCTCACCTTCGTGTCCTCGAAGAGTGCACTTCTTTGTACCCTTCTCGGCGTCCCACAGCATTACCGCGCCACCTCTCGAACCCACGGCGACGGTTTGAGACGGCCAGTCCACGCATCCGCTGGCGATGTTCTCAAAGGCATAGATGCGACCTCTTTGCGAGCGTTTCGCAACGTCCCAGATGCGCACGGTGCAATCACGCCCGCCAGAGATGGCCAAGTGTTCGTGATCCTCTCGCACGTCGACGCTCAGGAACTCCACATTGTCATTGTGCTGACCAGTCATGGGCGCACCTCCGGATAACCCCTTCGTCGGGTCCCATCTCCACGTTCGAAGCGTTCCATCCCACCCACCAGTAATGTAATCGTCACCACGTGAGCTCACGCACGAGACGAGCTCGTTGTGTGCGTGCTTAGAATCTTCGTTGACGCGCGCGACGCGAAACGATGGAGGCGCACCGCTGCCCGTTCCCCATGCACCGCCAAGACTCGAGCTCAGCCGATGACGGAGCGCAGCGCACGGGGTCAATTCACCTTCCTCGAGCGCATCCTCGAGTCTACGACGTGATGGATTACGGTCCTCCTGCGCTGAGTGCGTCGCGCTTGATGCCTTTTGTCTCTGGGTAATGTCCTCGATTTCGCTCGTGGAAGTCGGCGTGACCGACGACGCCTCCACTCCGATTCTTCCGATTTTGATGATATCCTCAAACTCTTCCACCGCCGCTCGTTCCTTGGCGACTCGAGCCTCGAGATCTCGAACGATTCGCGAGCTCTGCGACACGCGCAATACCTTCACGACGATGAACTTCATGACGCTGTCGAAAAACGCGTACACGGCGAGCATGACGCCGGCGAGCGCGATGTCCATTCGATGGAAGAACCATTCGATCGAATTCTGATGATCGCGCTGATCGCGCTCGTACGCGTCTGCCCTCGCGACGTCTACCGGCGTCTTCGGCGTCTTCGGCGTCTTCGGCGTACTCGGCGGTCTCGGCCTCGGCGGCGACATCGGCATCGAAACGGACCCCCGTCCCGACAGAGGCGGCCGCCGCGCGCTCCCCGTCGCCGGAAACACACGCGTCTTCAACGCGGGCGTGATCTCACCCTCCTCCTTCTCGTACGCCGTGGACGCCGGCGACGCGTCCGCCGTCCGCGCCGTCGCCCGCGCCGCCGCCCGCGCCACGCCCGCCACCCCCATCCACTCCTCCGAATCCCCCCCCTCTCCCGACTCCACACCATCCCCGCTCTCTTCCTGTCCCGTGGACCCCCCACCGAGCACGCGCAACGCCGCGCTCGTGCGTCGCAACCGCCGCGCCCGCCGCTTCGCCCGCCGCCGCGCCTCCCGCGCCGTCGCCCCGTCCTCCACCCCTCTCGCTCGCGTGGGCGTCCTCGGCGGCGCGAGCACACCGAACGCGTTTCCATCTCCACCCCCCCCCTCGCGCTCGGTCTCGCTCGTCCCCCGTCCGCGTCCGTCGCCCCGTCCTCGGTCACGACCGTTGGTGTGCGACGACGGTCGGCGCGTCGACGCCACCGTCTGCCACGCCGCGTCGTCCGAGGCGTCGCCGGACATCGTCGCCGTCGTCGTCGCGGCGCCGCGGCCTCGGCGTCGGTCTCGCGCGCGCGGCGACGGCGACGGCGACGGCGACGCGGCCGGCGTCGATGGGCGCGCGACGAAACACCATACGGGGCGGCCATCGCGTCTCTCGCGCGTGCGGCATCGTACGGGTTTTGGTGCGACGACGACACACCATACGGGGCGGCCATCGCGTGTCTCGCGCGTGCGGCATCGTACGGGTTTTGGTGCGACGACGACACACCATACGGGGCGGCCATCGCGTCTCTCGCGCGTGCGGCATCGTACGGGTTTTGGTGCGACGACGACACCCCGGACGGGGCGGCCATCGCGTGTCTCGCGCGTGCGGCATCGTACGGGTTTTGGTGCGACGACGACACCCCGGACGGGGCGGCCATCGCGTGTCTCGCGCGTGCGGCATCGTACGGGTTTTGGTCTCCGCCGGGACGTGTGCTCGAGCGTTTCGAGCGTTTTATTCATACGCGGCGATGGCGACGCGGACGCCATCGCCGGACGCGCGACGCCATCGCCGGACGCGCGACGCCGGGGATGCCGCGCGACGACGGCGTGGACGACGGCACCGCATCGGCGGTCGCGGCGACGACGCCGCGCGTGCTGTGGTCGCAGCGACGCGGGAGCGTGACGGTGAAGTTTGACGCGCGCGACGCGCGAGCGGTGGAGGTGGAGGTGATCGACGCCGATCGCGAGGAGAAGAGCTCGACGGTGCGCGTGCGGTACGTCGCGGATGACGTCGTGGACGCGGATCGGGAGAATGGGGCGCGCGATGGCGTGGAGACGATGGACGAGAGGGGGGGGCGCGCGGCGCGGGCGTACGCGTGCGCGCTCGAACTCTTCGGTTCGGTCGGCGCGTCGGCGCGCGCGGAGATCAAGCGCACGTCGCGGGCGATCACGGTGACGTTTCCAAAGACCACGGTCGCCGGTCACTGGCCGCGTTTACTTTTGAGTAAGGAAAAGTTTCGCCACGTCGGCACCGATTTCGACCTGTGGCTCGACGAGGACGACGAGCTCGCCGCGGACGCCGCGTTCAAATTCGACTTGAACTCGCTCGAGAAAATCTCAAACTACGAGGACAAGGCGTATTATTTTCCCGATGTCGACGATTCCGACGACGACATGCCGGACATGACGGACGTGTACGACCACTAGCGGTCGCTTCGTCCCGCTCGCGCGAGCGTTTTCTCAGCCGGGCAATGACAACCACACTGCGTGACGCATCGCCGAACATGCCCGACGAAGACCCCCGCGCGCGCGACGCGCGCGATGACGACGCGGACGAACCCGCGCGTTTGCTCTGTCCCATCACGCGCGCGGCGTATCGCGACCCCGTGTTCGTGCCGAGCTCTGGGAACACCTACGAGCGGGACGCCCTGGAAGAGTTCTGGCGTCGCTCTCCCGGACCGGCGCGAGATCCGCTGACGAACGAACCCGTGATGGATCGTAAGGTGTACACGAACTGGGATAAGCGGCGAGAGGTGGCGGAGTGGTTGAGCGCGAACCCGACGCGGACGCCGAGCGGTTGGGAGACGCGCGAGCAACCGACGCCGAAAAAAGAACGCGATGGCGCGCCGAACGGACGGACGCGGATGTTCGGTGGTGAAAACGGTGGAGGTGGTGGCGCGCGAAGAGCGGTGACGATCGGGGCGGTGGTGGCGCTGGCTCTTTTGGCGGCGAGCGCGGTCGGCGGCGTCGCGTCGCCGAGCGCGTGGTGGACGACGGGGGCGAGAGGAGGCGCGCGTGGCTCGCCGAGGATGCCCCCGATCGACGAATTCGGCGTCGTGCGAGAGATCAAGGCGCCGGTGGGTTCGAGGATTCGCGCGAAGAGGGTGGATCGAGGGTCGACGCCGGCGTTGGAAATTGCGATACCGTCTCAGTCGATGAACACGGCGTCGTTGTTGTTTAGCATTCCGTGGTTTGCCATCACGGGGACGTGGACGTACGGGGCGTGGAACGGTGCTAATCCGATGTTCGCCTCTTTCAGCCTCCCGTTCTGGGCCGTGGGATTCAACATGATTCATCAGAGCGCGACGAGCGCGTTTGAGAGCACGCGATTGTTACTCACCGCGGATCGATTTTACCTCGAGAAAACCATCTTCGATCGACGCATGTTCTTCTTGAGAGGGTCAATCGATGACATTGAAAAATCAGCAGTGGAGACGTACGCTTACGTGAACGGGGTTCCACAGACCAATCTGGTGTTGTATCACGGAATAAAGTCGCACGTCTTGGCCAGAGGACTGCACGCGACGGAGGACGAGTTCATCGTCGATGAGATTCATCGATTTCTCAAGAAATATCGAACGAAACGATCTTCATCGTCGTCAAATGGTGGCGGAGACGTCAAGATAGACACCACGACGCCGTACTTCGCACGCGCGCGCATGTAAGAATAAATAGAATTTCACACTGAAATAATCCAACCTACTCACGTCTAGACGCTACGAATGGACGCCAAGAGATACTCGGCTTGATGGTCGACTATGAATTCACCCTCCTTGAACAGCGATGCCAAGTATGGATTTCGCTGAAGCGCACAAATTTTGTTATGCGCAAGCGGCACCGGTCCCGGGAAAGAAACGTTGACGTGTCGCCACGAGAGCGTGCGTAAGCCTCGCGCCATCTTCCGTCTGAGCGCGAGCTCGTCCGTGCTCCAGCTCGCGCTATCAGTTTCCTCGATCGCGAACTCGCCATCGCGCTCGAATTCCTCCACTATTTGTGGCTCGTCCAAGCACCGCCACGCCCGTTCCTGCGCCGAATCGAGGTACTCTGGATGAAGCGAAGCCGTCTCGTACGACACCAAAAAATCATTCGTCGCGTTCGCGTACGCACAACGACGCTTAAAGCTACCGAGAGCGGCGACGAAATTCGCCGGTTCTCGTGTCTCCGGATCCGCCATACGCGCCAACAGCGGTAACTTCCCGTCCTCTCCGTCCCGCAGCGTTAACTCCATGATCGACCGTCCTAGTTGCTTCGACCAGAGGTAACGTAAAGCCCTCGGAACGAGTTTAAAGAAACCCCACGGCCCCACCCCGAGGTGCGGCGTCGCCGTCGTTAAATACGTGCACGGAATCAACCCCAACATCGTTCCATCTCTCTTTTCCTCCCACATGATCCCCGCCGCGTATCGCGCGTAAATCCCGCCTAACGAGTTCCCGTAAAGCGTCAAGTACCGCAACGACGGATTCGCCCGCACCACCTCCCGCAGTTCTTCCACGATGCGCACCGCCCCCGCCTCGACGCCATCGAACGAATTCAACGGCGCGTTACACGCTAATCGATGCACCAACGCGTTTCCATCCGCCGCGACCCGCCGCTCCAGCGCGCGCAAATCCTCCGGCGTCCCCGCCAATCCGTGCGCGCACGCGATCAAGTGCGCCGGTCCATCCATCGACGCCGTCGCCGTCTTCCGCGCGCGCGTCCGCGCCCCCCCGCGCGCGTTCACGAGCCGTCGTCGCCGTCGCTCGATCGTCGTCTCGAACGTCTCCCCTCGTCGCGCCCGCCACGTCGCGCTCGCCCACGTCGCGGCGCTCATCACCGACAGGAACGCGCGCCAGAGCGCGTTCTTCAACGCGTCCGCGAGCGCGCTCGCGCGGGCGCGGCGCTCGAGGCGATGGAGTCGCGCGCGCATGGACCTGGCGCCACCGGTCGACGGTTTTTGTCCAAAGGCGCGCGCCTTTGGGGATTGAAAGGCGACGCCTTTCGATCGCGACACCGCGCACCGGTCGAGGTCGCGCGCGCGCGAGACGCGCGCGTCGCGCACACGCGC